GTGAGTGAGTAGGTGAGTGAGTAGGTGAGTAGGTGAGTGAGTAGGTGAGTGAGTGAGTAGGTGAGTAGGTGAGTGAGTAGGTGAGTGAGTAGGTGAGTAGGTGAGTGAGTAGGTGAGTGAGTGAGTAGGTGAGTAGGTGAGTAGGTGAGTGAGTAGGTGAGTAGGTGAGTGAGTAGGTGAGTGAGTGAGTAGGTGAGTGAGTAGGTGAGTGAGTGAGTAGGTGAGTGAGTGAGTAGGTGAGTGAGTAGGTGAGTGAGTAGGTGAGTGAGTAGGTGAGTGAGTAGGTGAGTGAGAAGGTGAGTGAGTAGGTGAGTGAGTAGGTGAGTGAGTGAGTAGGTGAGTGAGTAGGTGAGTGAGTAGGTGAGTGAGTATGTGAGTGAGTAGGTGAGTGAGTGAGTGAGTAGGTGAGTGAGTGAGTAGGCGAGTGAGTAGGTGAGTGAGTAGGTGAGTAGGTGAGTGAGTAGGTGAGTGAGTAGGTGAGTGAGTAGGTGAGTAGGTGAGTGAGTGAGTAGGTGAGTGAGTGAGTAGGTGAGTGAGTAGGTGAGTGAGTAGGTGAGTGAGTAGGTGAGTGGGTGAGTGAGTGAGTGAGTGGGTGAGTGTGTGGGTGAGTGAGTAGGTGAGTGAGTAGGTGAGTAGGTGAGTGAGTAGGTGAGTAGGTGAGTGAGTAGGTGAGTGAGTAGGTGAGTGAGTAGGTGAGTGAGTAGGTGAGTGAGTGAGTGAGTAGGTGAGTGAGTATGTGAGTGAGTAGGTGAGTGAGTGAGTGAGTAGGTGAGTGAGTGAGTAGGTGAGTGAGTAGGTGAGTGAGTAGGTGAGTAGGTGAGTGAGTAGGTGAGTGAGTAGGTGAGTGAGTAGGTGAGTAGGTGAGTGAGTGAGTAGGTGAGTGAGTAGGTGAGTGAGTAGGTGAGTAGGTGAGTGAGTAGGTGAGTAGGTGAGTAGGTGAGTGAGTAGGTGAGTGAGTAGGTGAGTAGGTGAGTGAGTAGGTGAGTAGGTGAGTGAGTAGGTGAGTGAGTAGGTGAGTGAGTAGGTGAGTGAGTAGGTGAGTAGGTGAGTGAGTAGGTGAGTGAGTGAGTGAGTAGGTGAGTGAGTATGTGAGTGAGTAGGTGAGTGAGTGAGTAGGTGAGTGAGTGAGTAGGTGAGTGAGTAGGTGAGTGAGTAGGTGAGTAGGTGAGTGAGTAGGTGAGTAGGTGAGTGAGTAGGTGAGTGAGTAGGTGAGTAGGTGAGTGAGTAGGTGAGTAGGTGAGTGAGTAGGTGAGTGAGTGAGTGAGTAGGTGAGTGAATAGGTGAGTAGGTGAGTGAGTAGGTGAGTGAGTAGGTGAGTGAGTAGGTGAGTGAGTAGGTGAGTGAGTAGGTGAGTAGGTGAGTGAGTGAGTAGGTGAGTAGGTGAGTGAGTGAGTAGGTGAGTAGGTGAGTGAGTAGGTGAGTGAGTAGGTGAGTGAGTGAGTAGGTGAGTGAGTGAGTAGGTGAGTGAGTAGGTGAGTGAGTAGGTGAGTGAGTAGGTGAGTGAGTAGGTGAGTAGGTGAGTGAGTAGGTGAGTGAGTAGGTGAGTGAGTAGGTGAGTGAGTAGGTGAGTGAGTAGGTGAGTAGGTGAGTGAGTGAGTGAGTAGGTGAGTGAGTAGGTGAGTGAGTGAGTAGGTGAGTGAGTAGGTGAGTGAGTAGGTGAGTGAGTGAGTAGGTGAGTGAGTAGGTGAGTGAGTAGGTGAGTGAGTAGGTAAGTAGGTGAGTAGGTGAGTGAGTAGGTGAGTGAGTAGGTGAGTGAGTAGGTGAGTGAGTAGGTGAGTAGGTGAGTGAGTGAGTGAGTAGGTGAGTGAGTAGGTGAGTGAGTGAGTAGGTGAGTAGGTGAGTGAGTAGGTGAGTGAGTAGGTGAGTGAGTAGGTGAGTAGGTGAGTGAGTAGGTGAGTGAGTGAGTGAGTAGGTGAGTGAGTATGTGAGTGAGTAGGTGAGTGAGTGAGTAGGTGAGTGAGTGAGTAGGTGAGTGGAGTAGGTGAGTGAGTAGGTGAGTAGGTGAGTGAGTAGGTGAGTAGGTGAGTGAGTAGGTGAGTGAGTAGGTGAGTAGGTGAGTGAGTAGGTGAGTAGGTGAGTGAGTAGGTGAGTGAGTGAGTGAGTAGGTGAGTGAGTAGGTGAGTAGGTGAGTGAGTAGGTGAGTGAGTAGGTGAGTGAGTAGGTGAGTGAGTAGGTGAGTGAGTAGGTGAGTAGGTGAGTGAGTGAGTAGGTGAGTAGGTGAGTGAGTGAGTAGGTGAGTAGGTGAGTGAGTAGGTGAGTGAGTAGGTGAGTGAGTGAGTAGGTGAGTGAGTGAGTAGGTGAGTGAGTAGGTGAGTGAGTAGGTGAGTGAGTAGGTGAGGGAGTAGGTGAGTAGGTGAGTGAGTAGGTGAGTGAGTAGGTGAGTGAGTAGGTGAGTGAGTAGGTGAGTGAGTAGGTGAGTAGGTGAGTGAGTGAGTGAGTAGGTGAGTGAGTAGGTGAGTGAGTGAGTAGGTGAGTGAGTAGGTGAGTGAGTAGGTGAGTGAGTGAGTAGGTGAGTGAGTAGGTGAGTGAGTAGGTGAGTGAGTAGGTAAAGTAGGTGAGTAGGTGAGTGAGTAGGTGAGTGAGTAGGTGAGTGAGTAGGTGAGTGAGTAGGTGAGTAGGTGAGTGAGTGAGTGAGTAGGTGAGTGAGTAGGTGAGTGAGTGAGTAGGTGAGTGAGTAGGTGAGTGAGTAGGTGAGTGAGTGAGTAGGTGAGTGAGTAGGTGAGTGAGTAGGTGAGTGAGTAGGTGAGTAGGTGAGTAGGTGAGTGAGTAGGTGAGTGAGTAGGTGAGTGAGTAGGTGAGTGAGTAGGTGAGTAGGTGAGTGAGTAGGTGAGTGAGTAGGTGAGTAGGTGAGTGAGTGAGTAGGTGAGTGAGTGAGTGAGTAGGTGAGTGAGTAGGTGAGTGAGTGAGTGTGTAGGTGAGTGAGTAGGTGAGTGAGTAGGTGAGTGAGTAGGTGACTGAGTGAGTGAGTAGGTGAGTGAGTGAGTAGGTGAGTAGGTGAGTGAGTAGGTGAGTGAGTAGGTGAGTGAGTAGGTGAGTAGGTGAGTGTGTAGGTGAGTGAGTAGGTGAGTGAGTAGGTGAGTGAGTGAGTGAGTAGGTGAGTGAGTAGGTGAGTGAGTAGGTGAGTGAGTGAGTAGGTGAGTAGGTGAGTGAGTAGGTGAGTGAGTAGGTGAGTGAGTAGGTGAGTAGGTGAGTGAGTAGGTGAGTGAGTAGGTGAGTGAGGTAGGTGAGTGAGTAGGTGAGTAGGTGAGTGAGTAGGTGAGTGAGTAGGTGAGTAGGTGAGTGAGTAGGTGAGTGAGTAGTTGAGTGAGTAGGTGAGTGAGTAGGTGAGTGAGTAGGTGAGTGAGTAGGTGAGTGAGTAGGTGAGTAGGTGAGTGAGTAGGTGAGTGAGTAGGTGAGTGAGTGAGTAGGTGAGTAGGTGAGTGAGTAGGTGAGTGAGTAGGTGAGTGAGTAGGTGAGTGAGTAGGTGAGTAGGTGAGTGAGTGAGTGAGTAGGTGAGTGAGTAGGTGAGTGAGTAGGTGAGTGAGTAGGTGAGTAGGTGAGTGGGTAGGTGAGTAGGTGAGTGAGTAGGTGAGTGAGTAGGTGAGTGAGTAGGTGAGTAGGTGAGTGAGTAGGTGAGTGAGTAGGTGAGTAGGTACTGGATGATGCTCCCACTGGTCTCCACGTGCAGGCTGTGTGTGAACGATGATCCCAGTCCTACACTGAGACAGTTCTGATAGTGAGTGTGTGAGTAGGTGAGTGAGTAGGTGAGTAGGGTGAGTGAGTAGGTGAGTGAGTAGGTGAGTGAGTGAGTGAGTAGGTGAGTGAGTAGGTGAGTGAGTAGGTGAGTGAGTAGGTGAGTAGGTGAGTGAGTAGGTGAGTGAGTAGGTGAGTGAGTAGGTGAGTGAGTAGGTGAGTGAGTAGGTGAGTGAGTAGGTGAGTAGGTGAGTGAGTAGGTGAGTAGGTACTGTATGATGCTCCCACTGGTCTCCACGTGCAGGCTGTGTGTGAACGATGATCCCAGTCCTACACTGAGACAGTTCTGATAGTGAGTGAGTGAGTAGGTGAGTGAGTAGGTGAGTGAGTAGGTGAGTGAGTAGGTGAGTGAGTAGGTGAGTGAGTGAGTAGGTGAGTGAGTAGGTGAGTGAGTAGGTGAGTGAGTAGGTGAGTAGGTGAGTGAGTAGGTGAGTGAGTAGGTGAGTGAGTAGGTGAGTGAGTAGGTGAGTAGGTACTGGATGATGCTCCCACTGGTCTCCACGTGCAGGCTGTGTGTGAACGATGATCCCAGTCCTACACTCAGACAGTTCTGATAGTGAGTGTGTGAGTAGGTGAGTGAGTAGGTGAGTAGGTGAGTGAGTAGGTGAGTGAGTAGGTGAGTGAGTGAGTGAGTAGGTGAGTGAGTAGGTGAGTGAGTAGGTGAGTGAGTAGGTGAGTAGGTGAGTGAGTAGGTGAGTGAGTAGGTGAGTGAGTAGGTGAGTGAGTAGGTGAGTGAGTAGGTAAGTGAGTAGGTGAGTGAGTGAGTAGGTGAGTAGGTGAGTGAGTAGGTGAGTGAGTAGGTGAGTAGGTGAGTGAGTAGGTGAGTGAGTAGGTGAGTAGGTGAGTGAGTAGGTGAGTGAGTAGGTGAGTGAGTAGGTGAGTGAGTAGGTGAGTAGGTGAGTGAGTAGGTGAGTGAGTGAGTAGGTGAGTGAATAGGTGAGTGAGTAGGTGAGTGAGTAGGTGAGTGAGTAGGTGAGTGAGTGAGTAGGTGAGTAGGTGAGTGAGTAGGTGAGTAGGTACTGTATGATGCTCCCACTGGTCTCCACGTGCAGGCTGTGTGTGAACGATGATCCCAGTCCTACACTGAGACAGTTCTGATAGTGAATGAGTGAGTAGGTGAGTGAGTAGGTGAGTGAGTAGGTGAGTGAGTAGGTGAGTGAGTAGGTGAGTGAGTAGGTGAGTGAGTAGGTGAGTGAGTAGGTGAGTGAGTAGGTGAGTAGGTGAGTGAGTAGGTGAGTAGGTACTGTATGATGCTCCCACTGGTCTCCACGTGCAGGCTGTGTGTGAACGATGATCCCAGTCCTACACTCAGACAGTTCTGATAGTGAGTGAGTAGGTGAGTGAGTAGGTGAGTGAGTAGGTGAGTGAGTAGGTGAGTGAGTAGGTGAGTAGGTGAGTGAGTAGGTGAGTGAGTAGGTGAGTAGGTGAGTGAGTAGGTGAGTGAGTAGGTGAGTAGGTGAGTGAGTAGGTGAGTGAGTAGGTGAGTAGGTGAGTGAGTAGGTGAGTGAGTAGGTGAGTAGGTACTGTATGATGCTCCCACTGGTCTCCACGTGCAGGCTGTGTGTGAACGATGATCCCAGTCCTACACTCAGACAGTTCTGATAGTGAGTGAGTGAGTAGGTGAGTGAGTAGGTGAGTAGGTGAGTAGGTGAGTGAGTAGGGGAGTGAGTGAGTAGGTGAGTAGGTGAGTGAGTAGGTGAGTGAGTAGGTGAGTAGGTACTGTATGATGCTCCCACTGGTCTCCACGTGCAGGCTGTGTGTGAACGATGATCCCAGTCCTACACTCAGACAGTTCTGATAGTGAGTGAGTGAGTAGGTGAGTGAGTAGGTGAGTAGGTGAGTAGGTGAGTGAGTAGGTGAGTGAGTGAGTAGGTGAGTAGGTGAGTGAGTAGGTGAGTGAGTAGGTGAGTAGGTACTGTATGATGCTCCCACTGGTCTCCACGTGCAGGCTGTGTGTGAACGATCCCAGTCCTACACTCAGACAGTTCTGATAGTGAGTGAGTGAGTAGGTGAGTGAGTAGGTGAGTGAGTAGGTGAGTGAGTAGGTGAGTGAGTAGGTGAGTGAGTAGGTGAGTGAGTAGGTGAGTGAGTAGGTGAGTGAGTAGGTGAGTAGGTACTGTATGATGCTCCCACTGGTCTCCACGTGCAGGCTGTGTGTGAACGATGATCCCAGTCCTACACTCAGACAGTTCTGATAGTGAGTGAGTGAGTAGGTGAGTGAGTAGGTGAGTGAGTAGGTGAGTGAGTAGGTGAGTGAGTAGGTGAGTGAGTAGGTGAGTGAGTAGGTGAGTGAGTGAGTAGGTGAGTGAGTAGGTGAGTGAGTAGGTGAGTGAGTGAGTGAGAGTAGGTGAGTGAGTAGGTGAGTGAGTAGGTGAGTGAGTAGGTGAGTAGGTGAGTGAGTAGGTGAGTGAGTAGGTGAGTAGGTACTGGATGATGCTCCCACTGGTCTCCACGTGCAGGCTGTGTGTGAACGATGATCCCAGTCCTACACTGAGACAGTTCTGATAGTGAGTGAGTGAGTAGGTGAGTGAGTAGGTGAGTGAGTAGGTGAGTGAGTAGGTGAGTAGGTGAGTGTAGGTGAGTGAGTAGGTGAGTAGGTACTGGATGATGCTCCCACTGGTCTCCACGTGCAGGCTGTGTGTGAACGATGATCCCAGTCCTACACTGAGACAGTTCTGATAGTGAGTGAGTGAGTAGGTGAGTGAGTAGGTGAGTGAGTAGGTGAGTGAGTGAGTAGGTGAGTGAGTAGGTGAGTGAGTAGGTGAGTAGGTACTGGATGATGCTCCCACTGGTCTCCACGTGCAGGCTGTGTGAACGATGATCCCAGTCCTACACTCAGACAGTTCTGATAGTGAGTGAGTGAGTAGGTGAGTGAGTAGGTGAGTGAGTAGGTGAGTGAGTAGGTGAGTGAGTAGGTGAGTAGGTACTGGATGATGCTCCCACTGGTCTCCACGTGCAGGCTGTGTGTGAACGATGATCCCAGTCCTACACTCAGACAGTTCTGATAGTGAGTGAGTGAGTAGGTGAGTGAGTAGGTGAGTGAGTAGGTGAGTGAGTAGGTGAGTGAGTAGGTGAGTGAGTAGGTGAGTAGGTGAGTAGGTGAGTGAGTAGGTGAGTAGGTACTGTATGATGCTCCCACTGGTCTCCACGTGCAGGCTGTGTGTGAACGATGATCCCAGTCCTACACTCAGACAGTTCTGATAGTGAGTGAGTGAGTAGGTGAGTGAGTAGGTGAGTGAGTAGGTGAGTAGGTGAGTGAGTAGGTGAGTAGGTGAGTGAGTAGGTGAGTAGGTGAGTGAGTAGGTGAGTAGGTACTGTATGATGCTCCCACTGGTCTCCACGTGCAGGCTGTGTGTGAACGATGATCCCAGTCCTACACTCAGACAGTTCTGATAGTGAGTGAGTGAGTAGGTGAGTGAGTAGGTGAGTGAGTAGGTGAGTAGGTGAGTGAGTAGGTGAGTGAGTAGGTGAGTAGGTGAGTGAGTAGGTGAGTGAGTAGGTGAGTGAGTAGGTGAGTGAGTAGGTGAGTGAGTAGGTGAGTAGGTACTGGATGATGCTCCCACTGGTCTCCACGTGCAGGCTGTGTGTGAACGATGATCCCAGTCCTACACTCAGACAGTTCTGATAGTGAGTGAGTGAGTAGGTGAGTGAGTAGGTGAGTGAGTAGGTGAGTGAGTAGGTGAGTGAGTAGGTGAGTAGGTACTGGATGATGCTCCCACTGGTCTCCACGTGCAGGCTGTGTGTGAACGATGATCCCAGTCCTACACTCAGACAGTTCTGATAGTGAGTGAGTGAGTAGGTGAGTGAGTAGGTGAGTGAGTAGGTGAGTGAGTAGGTGAGTGAGTAGGTGAGTGAGTAGGTGAGTAGGTGAGTAGGTGAGTGAGTAGGTGAGTAGGTACTGTATGATGCTCCCACTGGTCTCCACGTGCAGGCTGTGTGTGAACGATGATCCCAGTCCTACACTCAGACAGTTCTGATAGTGAGTGAGTGAGTAGGTGAGTGAGTAGGTGAGTGAGTAGGTGAGTAGGTGAGTGAGTAGGTGAGTAGGTGAGTGAGTAGGTGAGTAGGTGAGTGAGTAGGTGAGTAGGTACTGTATGATGCTCCCACTGGTCTCCACGTGCAGGCTGTGTGTGAACGATGATCCCAGTCCTACACTCAGACAGTTCTGATAGTGAGTGAGTGAGTAGGTGAGTGAGTAGGTGAGTGAGTAGGTGAGTAGGTGAGTGAGTAGGTGAGTGAGTAGGTGAGTAGGTGAGTGAGTAGGTGAGTGAGTAGGTGAGTGAGTAGGTGAGTGAGTAGGTGAGTGAGTAGGTGAGTAGGTACTGGATGATGCTCCCACTGGTCTCCACGTGCAGGCTGTGTGTGAACGATGATCCCAGTCCTACACTGAGACACTTCTCATAGTCTCCGTCACGGGCGGCGTAGAACCTCAGAGGGACCTCCGTGGGGAACCGGATCTGGGGACACGGGGAGAGAGACACGGGGAGAGAGACACGGGGAGAGAGACACGGGGAGAGAGACACGGGGAGAGAGACACGGGGAGAGAGAGACACGGAGAGAGAGACACGGGGACACGGGGAGAGAGACACGGGGAGAGAGACACGGAGAGAGAGACACGGGCAGAGAGAGACACGGAGAGAGAGACACGGGGAGAGAGAGACACGGGGAGGGAGACACGGAGAGAGACACGGGGAGGGAGAGACACGGGGAGAGAGAGACCCGGGGAGAGACACGGTGAGAGAGACACGGGGAAGAGAGACACGGTGAGAGAGACACGGTGAGAGAGACACGGTGAGAGAGAGACACGGTGAGAGAGAGACACGGTGTGAGAGAGACACGGGGAGAGAGACACGGGGAGAGAGACACGGGGACAGAGACACGGAGACAAGGGGAGGGAGACACGGGGAGAGAGAGACACGGGGAGAGAGAGACACGGAGAGAGAGACACGGGGAGAGAGACACGGGGAGAGACACGGGGAGAGAGAGACACGGGGAGAGAGACACGGAGAGAGAGACACGGGGAGAGAGATACGGGGAGAGAGACACGGGGAGAGAGAGACACGGAGACATGGGGAGAGAGACACGGGAAGAGAGAGACACGGGGAGAGAGAGACACGGGGAGAGAGACACGAAGACACGGGGAGAGAGACACGGGGAGGTAGACACGGAGACAGAGACACGGAGACACACACGGGGAGAGAGAGACACGGGGAGAGAGAGACACGGGGAGAGAGACACGGGGAGAGAGACACGGGGAGAGAGATACATGGGGAGAGAGACATGGGGAGAGAGACACGGGGAGAGAGAGACACGGGCAGAGAGAGACACGGAGAGAGAGACACGGAGAGAGAGAGACACGGGGAGAGAGACACGGGCAGAGAGAGACACGTAGAGAGAGAGACACGGGGAGAGAGACACGGGGAGAGAGACACGGGGAGAGAGACACGGGGAGAGAGAGACACGGGGAGAGAGACACGGGGAGAGAGAGACACGGGAGAGAGACACGGGCAGAGAGAGACACGGAGAGAGACACAGAGAGAGAGACACGGGGTGAGAGAGACACGGGCAGATAGAGACACGGGGTGAGAGAGACACGGGCAGATAGAGACACGGGGAGAGAGACACAGGGAGAGAGAGACACGGGGGGAGAGACACGGGGAGAGAGACACGGGCAGATAGAGACACGGGGGAGAGAGACACGGGGAGAGAGAGACACGGGGGGAGAGACACGGGGAGAGAGACACGGGAGAGAGAGACACGGGGAGAGAGACACGGGAGAGAGAGACACGGGGAGAGAGAGACACGGGGAGAGAGAGATACGGGGAGAGAGAGACACGGGAGAGAGAGACACGGGGAGAAAGAGACACGGGGAGAGAGAGACACGGGGAGAGACACGGGGGAGAGAGACACGGGGAGAGAGAGACACGGGGAGAGAGACACGGGGAGAGAGAGACACGGGGAGAGACACGGGGAGAGAGAGACACGGGGAGAGAGAGACACGGGGAGAGAGAGACACGGGGAGAGAGAGTCACGGGGAGAGAGAGACACGGGGAGAGAGACGGAGATGTGGGGACACGGAGACAGACACGGGGAGAGAGACACGGAGACACGGGGAGGGAGACACGGGAGAGAGAGACACGGGGAGGGAGACACGGGGAGAGAGAGACACGGGGGGAGAGACACGGGGAGGGAGACACGGGGAGAGAGTGTCTCTGTGTCCCAGTGTCTCTCCGTGTGTCTCCGTGTCTCTGTGTGTCTCTGTGTGTCTCTGTGTCCCAGTGTCTCTGTGTATCTGTGTGTCTCAGCGTGTCTCCGTGTGTCTCAGCATGTCTCCGTGTGTCACCATGTGTCTCACATTGTCTCTGTGTCTCCGTGTGTCTCCGTGTCTCTGTGTCTCTGTGTGTTTCACCTTGTCTCTGTGTGTCTCACCTTGTCTCTGTGTCTCTGTGTGTCTCACCTTGTCTCTGTGTGTCTCTGTGTCTCACCTTGTCTCTGTGTGTCTGTGTGTCTCACCTTGTCTCTGTGTGTCTCACCTTGTCTCTGTGTCTCTGTGTGTCTCACCTTGTCTCTGTGTGTCTCCGTGTGTCTCTGTGTGTCTCTGTGTCTCTGTGTGTCTCACCTTGTCTCTGGGTGTCTCCGTGTGTCTCTGTGTGTCTGTGTGTCTCTGTGTGTCTCACCTTGTTTCTGTGTCTCTGTGTGTCTCACCTTGTCTCTGTGTCTCCGTGTCTCACCTTGTCTCTGTGTGTCTCTGTGTGTCTCACCTTGTCTCTGTGTCTCTGTGTGTCTCCGTGTCTCTGTGTCTCTGTGTGTCTCACCTTGTCTCTGTGTGTCTCACCTTGTCTCTGTGTCTCTGTGTGTCTCCGTGTCTCTGTGTGTCTCCGTGTGTCTCACCTTGTCTCTGTGTGTCTCACCGTGTCTCTGTGTGTCTCTGTGTGTCTCACCTTGTCTCTGTGTGTCTCTGTGTGTCTCACCGTGTCTCTGTGTGTCTCACCTTGTCTCTGTGTGTCTCACCTTGTCTCTGTGTGTCTCTGTGTGTCTCACCGTGTCTCTGTGTGTCTCACCTTGTCTCTGTGTGTCTCACCGTGTCTCTGTGTGTCTCTGTGTGTCTCACCTTGTCTCTGTGTGTCTCTGTGTGTCTCACCGTGTCTCTGTGTGTCTCACCTTGTCTCTGTGTGTCTCCGTGTCTCTGTGTGTCTCTGTGTGTCTCACCTTGTCTCTGTGTGTCTCTGTGTGTCTCCGTGTCTCTGTGTGTCTCTGTGTGTCTCACCTTGTCTCTGTGTGTCTCCGTGTGTCTCTGTGTGTCTCCGTGTCTCTGTGTGTCTCACCTTGTCTCTGTGTCTCTGTGTGTCTCACCTTGTCTCTGTGTCTCTGTGTGTCTCACCTTGTCTCTGTGTGTCTCTGTGTGTCTCCGTGTCTCTGTGTGTCTCACCTTGTCTCCGTGTGTCTCTGTGTGTCTCACCTTGTCTCTGTGTGTCTCTGTGTGTCTCCGTGTCTCTGTGTGTCTCACCTTGTCTCCGTGTGTCTCTGTGTGTCTCCGTGTCTCTGTGTGTCTCACCTTGTCTCTGTGTGTCTCACCTTGTCTCTGTGTCTCTGTGTGTCTCCGTGTCTCCGTGTCTCTGTGTGTCTCTGTGTGTCTGTGTCTCTGTGTGTCTCACCTTGTCTCTGTGTCTCTGTGTGTCTCACCTTGTCTCTGTGTCTCTGTGTCTCCGTGTCTCTGTGTGTCTCTGTGTGTCTCCGTGTGTCTCACCTTGTCTCTGTGTGTCTCTGTGTCTCTCTGTGTCTCTGTCTCTCTGTGTCTCTGTGTGTCTCACCTTGTCTCTGTGTCTCTGTGTGTCTCCGTGTCTCTGTGTCTCTGTGTCTCTCTGTGTCTCACCTTGTCTCTGTGTGTCTCTGTGTCTCACCTTGTCTGTCTCTCTGTGTCTCTGTCTCACCTTGTCTCTCTGTCTCTCTGTGTCTCACCTTGTCTGTGTCTCTGTGTCTCTGTCTCTCTGTGTCTCACCTTGTCTCTGTGTCTCTGTGTGTCTCACCTTGTCTCTGTGTCTCTGTGTGTCTCTGTGTCTCACCTTGTCTCTGTGTCTCTGTGTCTCTGTCTCACCTTGTCTCTCTGTCTCTCTGTGTCTCACCTTGTCTGTCTCTCTGTGTCTGTGTCTCACCTTGTCTCTGTCTCTGTGTCTCTGTGTCTCACCTTGTCTCTCTGTCTCCCTGTGTGTCTCTGTGTCTCACCTTGTCTCTGTGTGTCTCTGTGTCTCTGTGTGTCTCACCTTGTCTCTGTGTCTCCGTGTCTCACCTTGTCTCTGTGTGTCTCTGTGTCTCTGTGTGTCTCACCTTGTCTCTGTGTGTCTCACCTTGTCTCTGTGTGTCTCACCTTGTCTCTGTGTGTCTCACCTTGTCTCTGTGTCTCTGTGTGTCTCTGTGTGTCTCACCTTGTCTCTGTGTGTCTCCGTGTCTCCGTGTGTCTCTGTGTGTCTGTGTCTCCGTGTGTCTCACCTTGTCTCTGTGTCTCTGTGTGTCTCTGTGTGTCTCACCTTGTCTCCGTGTGTCTCTGTGTCTCCGTGTGTCTCTGTGTCTCTGTGTCTCCGTGTGTCTCACCTTGTCTCTGTGTGTCTCTGTGTCTCCGTGTGTCTCTGTGTGTCTGTGTCTCTGTGTGTCTCACCTTGTCTCTGTGTGTCTCTGTGTGTCTCTGTGTGTCTCACCTTGTCTCTGTGTTTCCGTGTGTCTCTGTGTCTCTGTGTCTCTGTGTGTCTCACCTTTGTCCGTGTCTCTGTGTCTCTGTGTCTCTCTGTGTCTCTGTGTCTCACCTTGTCTCTGTGTGTCTCTGTGTCTCTGTGTGTCTCTGTGTCTCTGTGTCTCTGTGTGTCTGTGTCTCTGTGTGTCTCACCGTGTCTCTGTGTGTCTCTGTGTCTCACCTTGTCTCTGTGTGTCTCTGTGTGTCTCTGTGTCTCACCTTGTCTCTCTGTGTGTCTCCGTGTGTCTCACCTTGTCTCTGTGTGTCTGTGTGTCTCTGTGTGTCTCCGTGTCTCTGTGTGTCTCACCTTGTCTCCGTGTCTCTGTGTGTCTCACCTTGTCTCTGTGTGTCTCTGTGTGTCTCTGTGTGTCTCACCTTGTCTCTGTGTCTCTGTGTGTCTCACCTTGTCTCTGTGTGTCTCTGTGTGTCTCTGTGTGTCTGTGTCTCTGTGTGTCTCACCTTGTCTCTGTGTGTCTCACCTTGTCTCTGTGTGTCTCACCTTGTCTCTGTGTCTCTGTGTGTCTCACCTTGTCTCCGTGTGTCTCACCTTGTCTCTGTGTGTCTCCGTGTGTCTCTGTGTCTCTGTGTCTCACCTTGTCTCCGTGTCTCTGTGTCTCCGTGTGTCTCACCTTGTCTCTGTGTGTCTCTGTGTCTCTGTGTCTCTGTGTGTCTCTGTGTCTCTGTGTGTCTCTCTGTGTCTCCGTGTGTCTCACCTTGTCTCCGCACCGGGGGTCTCCGTCCTTCCCTGTCCGTGTCCCGCCATAGAACTCTGGCAGCTCGGAGGCTTCGATGTGAGAGAGCAAAACGTCCTTAAAGTCACCTGGAGACACGTGGAGACAAGTGGGGACACGTCCTTAAAGTCACCTGGAGACACAGGGAGACACGGGGAGACACGTGGATACACGTGGAGACACAGGGAGACACGGGGAGACACGGGGAGACACAGGGAGACACGGGGAGACACAGGGAGACACAGGGAGACACGGGGAGACACGGGGAGATACGTCCTTAAAGTCACCTGGAGACACGGGAGACACGTGGGGACAGGGAGACACAGGGAGACACGTGGAGACACGTGGGGACACAGGGAGACACGGGGAGACACAGGGAGACACGTGGAGACACGTGGAGATACGTCCTTAAAGTCACCTGGAGACACGGGGAGACACGGGGACACAGGGAGACACGGGGAGACACAGGGAGACACGTGGAGACACGTGGAGATACGTCCTTAAAGTCACCTGGAGACACGGGGAGACACGTGGGGACACAGGGAGACACGGGGAGACACAGGGAGACACGTGGAGACACGTGGAGATACGTCCTTAAAGTCACCTGGAGACACGGGGAGACACGTGGGGACACAGGGAGACACGGGGAGACACGTGGGGACACGGGGAGACACGGGGAGACACGTGGGGAAAGGGAGACACCTGGGGACACGTGGGGACAGAGGGAGACACGTGGGGACACGTCCTTAAAGTCACCTGGAGACACGTGGTGACACGTGGGGACACGTGGGGACACGTGGGGACACGTGGGGACACGTGGGGACACGGGGAGACACAGGGAGACACGTCCTTAAAGTCACCTGGAGACACGTGGAGACACAGGGAGATAGAGGGAGACACGTGGGGACACGTGGAGACACAGGGAGACACATCCTTAAAGTCACCTGGAGACACGTGGAGACACGTGGAGACACAGAGAGACACGTGGAGACACGTCCTTAAAGTCACCTGGAGACACCTGGAGACACGTGGAGACACGTGGAGACACAGGGAGACACGTCCTTAAAGTCACCTGGAGACACGTGGAGACACGTGGAGACACGGGGAGACACAGGGAGACACAGAGAGACACGTGGAGACACAGAGAGACACGTGGAGACACGCCCTTAAAGTCACCTGGAGACACCTGGAGACACGTGGAGACACGTGGAGACACAGGGAGACACGTCCTTAAAGTCACCTGGAGACACGTGGAGACACGTGGAGACACGGGGAGACACGTGGAGACACAGAGAGACACGTGGAGACACGTCCTTAAAGTAACCTGGAGACACCTGGAGACACGTGGAGACACGGGGAGACACGTGGAGACACAGGGAGACACAGGGAGACACGTGGAGACACAGGGAGACACAGGGAGACACGTGGAGACACGTGGAGACACAGGGAGACACGTGGAGACACAGGGAGACACGTCCTTAAAGTCACCTGGAGACACGTGGAGACACGGGGAGACACAGGGAGACACAGGGAGACATGGGGAGACACGTAATTAAAATGAACCTGGAGACACAGGGAGACACGTGGAGATACGTGGAGACACGTGGAGATACGTCCTTAAAGTCACCTGGAGACACGGGGAGACACGTGGGGACACAGGGAGACACGGGGAGACACAGGGAGACACGTGGAGACACGTGGAGATACGTCCTTAAAGTCACCTGGAGACACGGGGAGACACGTGGGGACACAGGGAGACACGGGGAGACACGTGGGGACACGGGGAGACACGGGGAGACACGTGGGGAAAGGGAGACACCTGGGGACACGTGGGGACAGAGGGAGACACGTCGGGACACGTCCTTAAAGTCACCTGGAGACACGTGGTGACACGTGGGGACACGTGGGGACACGTGGGGACACGTGGGGACACGGGGAGACACAGGGAGACACGTCCTTACAGTCACCTGGAGACACGTGGAGACACAGGGAGATAGAGGGAGACACGTGGGGACACGTGGAGACACAGGGAGACACATCCTTAAAGTCACCTGGAGACACGTGGAGACACGTGGAGACACAGAGAGACACGTGGAGACACGTCCTTAAAGTCACCTGGAGACACCTGGAGACACGTGGAAGACACGTGGAGACACAGGGAGACACGTCCTTAAAGTCACCTGGAGACACGTGGAGACACGTGGAGACACGGGGAGACACAGGGAGACACGAGAGGACACGTGAAGACACAGAGAAGACACGTGGAGACACGCCCTTAAAGTCAACCTGGAGACACCTGGAGACCACGTGGAGACACGTGGAGACACAGGGAGACACGCCTTTAAAGTCACCTGGAGACACGTGGAGACACGTGGAGACACGGGAAGACACGTGGAGACTCACAGACGAGCACACGTGGAGACACGTCCTTAAAGTAACCTGGAGACAACCTGGAGACACGTGGAGACACGGGGAGACACGTGGAGACACAGAGAGATACAGGGAGACACGTGGAGACACAGGGAGACACAGGGAGACACGTTGGAGACACGTGGAGACACAGGGAGACACGTGGAGACACAGGGAGACCACGTCATTAAAGTCACCTGGAGACACGTGGAGACACGGGGAGACACAGTGAGACACCAGGGAGACATGGGAGACACGTAATTAAAATGAACCTGGAGACACCGGGGAGACACGTGGAGATACGTGGAGACACAGGGAGACTCATCCTTAAAGTCACCTGGAGACACGTGGAGACACGGGGAGACACGGGGAGACACGTGGAGACACAGGGAGACACATCCTTAAAGTCACCTGGAGACACGTGGAGACACGTGGAGACACAGAGAGACACGTGGAGACACGTCCTTAAAGTCACCTGGAGACACCTGGAGACACGTGGAGACACGTGGAGACACAGGGAGACATGTCCATAAAGTCACCTGGAGACACGTGGAGACACGTGGAGACACGGGGAGACACAGGGAGACACAGAGAGACACGTGGAGACACAGAGAGACACGTGGAGACACGCCCTTAAAGTCACCTGGAGACACCTGGAGACACGTGGAGACACGTGGAGACACAGGGAGACACGTCCTTAAAGTCACCTGGAGACACGTGGAGACACGTGGAGACACGGGGAGACACGTGGAGACACAGAGAGACACGTGGAGACACGTCCTTAAAGTAACCTGGAGACACATGGAGACACGTGGAGACACGGGGAGACACGTGGAGACACAGGGAGACACAGGGAGACACGTGGAGACACAGGGAGACACAGGGAGACACGTGGAGACACGTGGAGACACAGGGAGACACGTGGAGACACAGGGAGACACGTCCTTAAAGTCACCTGGAGACACGTGGAGACACGGGGAGACACAGGGAGACACAGGGAGACATGGGGAGACACGTAATTAAAATGAACCTGGAGACACAGGGAGACACGTGGAGATACGTGGAGACACAGGGAGACTCATCCTTAAAGTCACCTGGAGACACGTGGAGACACGGGGAGACACGGGGAGACACGTGGAGACACAGGGAGACACGTCCTTAAAGTCACCTGGAGACACGTGGAGACACGGGGAGACACGGGGAGACACGTGGAGACACAGGGAGACACGTCCTTAAAGTCACCTGGAGACACGTCCAGACACGTGGAGACACGGGGAGACACGTGGAGACACGTGAAGACACAGAGACACACGTGGAGACACGTAGAGACACGTGGAGACAAGGGGAGACACGTGGAGACACAGTGGAGACACAGGGAGACACGTCGGAGACACAGGGAGATGACACAGGGAGACACGTGGAGACACAGGGAGACACGTGGAGACACAGGGAGACACGGGGGACAGGGGGGAGACACAGGGAGACACAGGGAGACATGGGGGAAGACACGTAATTAAAATGAACCTGGAGACACAGGGAGACACGGTGAGACACGTGAGACACGGGGGAGACACGTCCTTAAAGTCACCTGGAGACACAGGGGAGACACGGGTAGACACGTGGGAGACACGTGGGGACAAGTGGAGACACGTGGAGACACAGTGGAGGACACGTGGGGACAGGGAGACACAGGGAGACACAGGGAGACACGTGGGAGACACAGGGAGACACGGGTAGACACAGGGAGACACGTGGAACACAGGGAGACACGTGGAGACACGGGGAGACACGTGGAGACACAAAGAGACACGGGGAGACACGTGGAGACACGGGAGACACGTGGAGACAGAGGGAGACAGAGGGAGACACGTGGGGAGACACAGGGAGACACATGGAGACACGTGGAGACACAAGGAGACACGGGGAGACACAGGGAGACACGTGGTGGGTTCACGGTGCGGGTTGTTAGTGGGTGTTAGTGGGTGTTAGTGGGTGGGTGGTAGTGGGGGGTAGTGGGTGGTAGTGGGTGTTAGTGGGTGTTAGTGGGTGGGTGGTAGTGGGTGTTAGTGGGGGGTAGTAGTGGGTGGGTGGTAGTGGGCAGGTGTTAGTGGTGTTAGTGGGTGTTAGTGGGTGTTAGTGGGTGGGTGTTAGTGGGTGGGTGGTAGTGGGTGTTAGTGGGTGTTAGTGGGTGTTAGTGGGTGGGTGGTAGTGGGTGTTAGTGGGTGTTGTGGTGGTAGTGGGTGTTAGTGGGTGTTAGTGGGTGGGTGGTAGTGGGGGGTAGTGGGTGGTAGTGGGCAGGTGTTAGTGGTGTTAGTGGGTGTTAGTGGGTGGTAGTGGGTGTTAGTGGGTGGGAGTTAGTGGGGGGTAGTGGGTGGTAGTGGGCAGGTGTTAGTGGTGTAGTGGGTGTTAGTGGGTGTAGTGGGTGTTAGTGCGGGGTAGTAGTGGGGGGTAGTGGGGGGTAGTGGGTGTTAGTGGGTGGTAGTGGGCAGGTGTTAGTGGGTGTTAGTGGGTGTTAGTGGGTGTTAGTGGGTGGTAGTGGGTGTTAGTGGGGGGTAGTAGTGGGTGGTAGTGGGGGGTAGTGGGTGGTAGTGGGTGGTAGTGGGGGGTAGTAGTGGGTGGTGGGGGGTAGTGGGTGTTAGTGGGTGGTAGTGGGTGTTAGTGGGTGGTAGTGGGTGGTAGTGGGAGATAGTGGGTGTTAGTGGGTGGTAGTGGGTGTTAGTGGGTGGTAGTGGGTGTTAGTGGGTGGTAGTGGGTGGTAGTGGGAGATAGTGGGTGTTAGTGGGTGGTAGTGGGTGTTAGTGGGGGTAGTAGTGGGTGGTAGTGGGGGGTAGTGGGTGTAGTGGGTGGTAGTGGGGGTAGTAGTGGGTGGTAGTGGGGGTAGTGGGTGTTAGTGGGTGGTAGTGGGTGTTAGTGGGTGGTAGTGGGTGTTAGTGGGAGATAGTGGGTGTTAGTGGGTGGTTGTGGGTGTTAGTGGGTGGTAGTGGGTGTTAGTGGGTGGTAGTGGGTGGTAGTGGGAGATAGTGGGTGTTAGTGGGTGTTAGTGGGTGGTAGTGGGGGTAGTGGGTGTTAGTGGGTGGTAGTGGGTGGTAGTGGGTGTTAGTGGGTGTTAGTGGGTGTTAGTGGGTGGTAGTGGGGGGTAGTGGGTGTTAGTGGGTGGTAGTGGGTGTTAGTGGGTGGTAGTGGGTGTTAGTAGGTGTTAGTGGGGGTAGTAGTGGGTGGTAGTGGGTGGTAGTGGGGGGTAGTGGGTGTTAGTGGGTGGTAGTGGGTGTTAGTGGGTGGTAGTGGGTGTTAGTGGGGGTAGTGGATGTTAGTGGGTGGTAGTAGTGGGTAGTAGTGGGGGGTAGTAGTGGGTGGGTGTGGACTCACTCCCCAGGACACGAATCTTCAGCTTGGTGTCTTCACTGATGATCGGTTTCACGATGTTGTAGACCAGCGGGAAGATTCGGGGAGCTGAAGAATCATCATCATCATCACCATCATCATCACCATCATCATCACCATCATCACCACCATTACCACCATCATCATCACCATCATCATCATCACCATCATCATCACCATCATCATCACCATCATCATCACCATCATCACCATCATCATCATCATCACCATCATCATCACCATCATCATCATCACCATCATCATCACCATCATCACCACCATTACCACCATCATCATCACCATCATCATCATCACCATCATCATCACCATCATCATCACCATCATCATCACCATCATCACCATCATCATCATCATCATCACCATCATCATCACCATCATCATCATCACCATCATCATCACCATCATCATCACCATCATCATCACCATCATCATCATCACCATCATCATCACCATCACCATCATCACCATTATCATCACCATCATCATCACCATCATCATCACCATCATCACCATCATCATCACCATCATCACAATCACCACCATCACCACCATCATCATCACCATCACCACCATCACCACCATCATCAACACCATCACCACCACCACCACCATCACCACCATCACCACCAGCACCACCACCACCATCACCTCTGATAATGAACACGGTCTTGAGACACTCTGGGTAGTTGGCTTCAAACATCCTCAGCATCTGGGGGTGAGGGGGAAATGGTGAGCGAGTGAGTGAGTGGGTGAGTGAGTGGGTGAGTGATTGAGTGAGTGAGTGGGTGAGTGAGTGGGTGAGTGAGTGGGTGAGTGGGTGGGTGAGTGAGTGAGTGCGTGAGTGGGTGAGTGAGTGAGTGAGTGGGTGAGTGAGTGGGTGAGTGGGTGAGTGAGCGGGTGGGTGAGTGGGTGGGTGAGTTGGTGAGTGAGTGAGTGAGTGGGTGATTGGGTGGGTGAGTGAGTGGGTGAGTGGGTGAGTGAGTGATTGAGTGAGTGAGTGGGTGAGTGAGTGGGTGAGTGAGTGGGTGGGTGAGTGAGTGAGTGCGTGAGTGGGTGAGTGAGTGAGTGAGTGGTGAGTGAGTGAGGTGGTGGGTGAGTGAGTGGGTGGGTGAGTGGGTGGGTGAGTTGGTGAGTGAGTGAGTGAGTGGGTGATTGAGTGGGTGAGTGAGTGGGTGAGTGGGTGAGTGAGTGATTGAGTGAGTGAGTGGGTGAGTGAGTGGGTGAGTGAGTGGGTGAGTGATTGAGTGAGTGAGTGGGTGAGTGAGTGGGTGAGTGAGTGGGTGAGTGAGTGGGTGAGTGATTGAGTGAGTGAGTGGGTGAGTGAGTGGGTGAGTGAGTGCGTGAGTGGGTGGGTGAGTGAGTGAGTGCGTGAGTGGGTGAGTGAGTGAGTGAGTGGGTGAGTGAGTGTGAGTGGGTGAGTGAGCGGGTGAGTGAGTGGGTGGGTGAGTTGGTGAGTGAGTGAGTGAGTGGGTGATTGGGTGGGTGAGTGAGTGGGTGAGTGGGTGAGTGGGTGAGTGAGTGAGTGCGTGAGTGAGTGGGTGAGGGAGTGAGTGAGTGGGTGAGTGAGTGGGTGAGTTGGTGAGTGAGTGGGTGAGTGAGTGGGTGAGTGAGTAGGTGAGTGAATGGGTGAGTGAGTGGGTGAGTGGGTGAGTGAGTGAGTGGGTGAGTGGGTGGGTGAGTGAGTGGGTGAGTGGGTGAGTGAGTGAGTGGGTGAGTGAGTGAGTGGGTGAGTGAGTGGGTGAGTGAGTGGGTGAGTGAGTGAGTGAGTGGGTGGGTGGGTGAGTGAGTGAGTGAGTGGGTGGGTGAGTGAGTGAGTGGGTGGGTGAGTGGGTGAGTGAGTGAGTGAGTGGGTGAGTGAGTGAGTGGGTGGGTGAGTGAGTGGGTGAGTGGGTGAGTGAGTGAGTGAGTGGGTGAGTGAGTGAGTGGGTGAGTGAGTGAGTGGGTGAGTGAGTGAGTGGGTGGGTGAGTGAGTGAGTGGATGAGTGGGTGAGTAAGTGGGTGAGTGGGTGGGTGAGTGAGTTGGTGAGTCAGTGGGTGAGTGGGTGGGTGAGTGAGTGGGTGAGTGAGTGGGTGAGTGAGTGAGTAGGTGAGTGAGTGGGTGAGTGGGTGAGTGAGTGGGTGAGTGGGTGGGTGGGTGGGTGAGTGAGTGAGTGAGTGGGTGAGTGAGTGAGTGAGTTGGTGAGTGAATGAGTGAGTGGGTGAGTGGCTGAGTGAGAGAGTGAGCGGCTTAGTGAGTGACTGAGTGAGTTGGTGAGTGAGTGAGTGGCTGAGTGAGTAAGTGAGTGGCTGAGTCAGTGAGTAAGTGAGTGGGTGAGTGAGTGGGTGAGTGAGTGGGTGAGTGAGTGAGTGGCTGAGTGAGTGACTGAGTGAGTGAGTGAGTGGCTGAGTGAGTGAGTGAATGAGTGGCTGTGTGAGTGAGTGGCTGAATGAGTGAGTGACTGAGTGAGTGACTGAGTGAGTGAGTGAGTGCTGAGTGGGTGAGTGAGTGGCTGAGTGAGTGGCTGAGTGAGTGGGTGAGTGGTGAGTGAGTGGGTGAGTGACTGTGAGTGAGTGAGTGGGGGGTGAGTGAGTAGGTGACTGAGTGAGTGGCTGAGTGAGTGAGTGGCTGAGTGAGTGAGTGACTGAGTGAGTGAGGGAGTGACTGATTGACTGAGTGAGTGAGTGACTGAGTGAGTGCGTGGCTGAGTGAGTGAGTGACTGAGTGAATGACTGAGTGAGTGACTGAGTGAGTGAGTGACTGAGTGAGTGACTGAGTGAGTGAGTGAGTGACTGAGTGAGTGAGTGAGTGACTGAGTGAATGACTGAGTGAGTGACTGAGTGAGTGACTGATTGAGTGACTGAGTGAGTGAGTGATTGACTGAGTGGCTGAGTGAGTGAGTGGCTGAGTGAGTGAGTGACTGAGTGCGTGAGTGAGTGACTGAGTGACTGAGTGAGTGAGTGACTGAGTGAGTGAGTGGCTGAGTGAGTGAGTGACTGAGTGAGTGAATGAGTGACTGAGTGAGTGAATGAGTGGCTGATTGAGTGAGTGACTGAGTGAGTGACTGAGTGAGTGACTGAGTGAGTGAGTGACTGAGTGAGTGACTGAGTGAATAACTGAGTGAGTGACTGAGTGAGTGAGTGACTGAGTGACTGAGTGAGTGACTGAGTGAGTGAGTGACTGAGAGTGAATGACTGAGTGAGTGGGTGAATGAGTGAATGACTGAGTGACTGAGTGACTGAGTGAGTGACTGAGTGAGTGCCTGAGTGAGTGAGTGACTGAGTGAGTGAGTGAGTGACTGAGTGAGTGGCTGAGTGAGTGAGTGAGTGACTGAGTGAGTGGTGAGTGACTGAGTGAGTGGCTGAGTGATTGAGTGACTGACTGAGTGAGTGCCTGAGTGAGTGGCTGAGTGACTGAGTGAGTGAGTGACTGAGTGAGTGAGTGAGTGGCTGAGTGAGTGACTGAGTGACTGAGTGAGTGAGTGACTGAGTGAGTGGCTGAGTGAGTGGCTGAGTGACTGAGTGAGTGAGTGACTGAGTGAGTGAGTGAGTGGCTGAGTGAGTGACTGAGTGAGTGACTGAGTGAGTGACTGAGTGAGTGACTGAGTGAGTGAGTGACTGAGTGAGTGAGTGGCTGATTGTCACCTCCAGGTTGCTCTCGAGGAAAGGTTTCCAAAGATGTTTCCGGCTCAGATTGTGTAGGTCCATGATCACCACCATGCTGTCCACCTGTCTGCCCAGCTACTCACCCACACACACACACACAGGGTGAGTGAGTGAGTGGGTGAGTGAGTGAGTGAGTGGGTGAGTGAGTGAGTGGGTGGGTGAGTGGGTGAGTGAGTGGGTGGGTGAGTGGGTGGGTGAGTGGGTGAGTGGGTGGGTGAGTGAGTGAGTGGGTGGGTGGGTGAGTGGGTGGGTGAGTGAGTGAGTGGGTGGGTGTGTGGGTGGGTGAGTGGCTGAGTGAGTGAGTGGCTGAGTGAGTGGCTGAGTGAGTGGCTGAGTGAGTGGGTGAGTGAGTGGCTGAGTGAGTGAGTGTCTGAGTGAGTGAGTGGCTGAGTGAGTGAGTGGATGAATGAGTGAGTGGCTGAGTGAGTGGCTGAGCAAGTGAGTGAGTGAGTGGCTGAGTGAGTGAGTGGCTGAACGAGTGAGTGAGTGGCTGAGTGAGTGAGTGAGTGTCTGAGTGAGTGAGTGGCTGAGTAGCTGAGTGAGTGAGTGAGTGGATGAGTAGCTGAGTGAGTGAGTGAGTGTCTGAGTGAGTGAGTGGCTGAGTAGCTGAGTGAGTGAGTGAGTGTCTGAGTGGCTGAGTGTCTGATTGAGTGTCTGAGTGTCTGAGCGAGTGTCTGAGTGACTGAGTGAGTGACTGAGTGAGTGTCTGAGTGACTGAGTGAGTGACTGAGTGACTGAGTGACTGAGTGAGTGACTGAGTGAGTGACTGAGTGAGTGAGTGACTGGCTGAGTGAGTGGCTGAGTGAGTGACTGAGTGAGTGACTCAGTGACTGAGTGACTGAGTGAGTGACTGAGTGACTGAGTGACTGAGTGAGTGACTGAGTGAGTGACTGAGTGTCTGAGTGAGTGATTGTCTGAGTGAGTGAGTGACTGAGTGAGTGACTGAGTGACTGAGTGAGTGACTGAGCGAGTGTCTGAGTGACTGAGTGAGTGACTGAGTGTCTGAGTGAGTGATTGTCTGAGTGAGTGAGTGACTGAGTGATTGTCTGAGTGAGTGAGTGACTGAGTGAGTGACTGAGTGAGTGACTGAGTGACTGAGTGAGTGACTGAGTGAGTGACTGAGTGAATGAGTGAGTGTCTGAGTGAGTGACTGAGTGGCTGAGTGAGTGGCTGAGTGAGTGACTCAGTGTCTGAGTGACTGAGTGAGTGACTGAGTCAGTGACTGAGTGAGTGACTGAGTGACTGAGTGAGTGACTGAGTGAGTGACTGAGTGAGTGACTGAGTGAGTGACTGAGTGACTGAGTGAGTGACTGAGTGTCTGAGTGACTGAGTGAGTGACTGAGTCAGTGACTGAGTGAGTGACTGAGTGACTGAGTGAGTGACTGAGTGAGTGACTGAGTGACTGAGTGAGTGACTGACTGAGTGTCTGAGTGACTGAGTGACTGGCTGAGTGAGTGTCTGAGTGAGTGAGTGTCTGAGTGACTGACTGAGTGTCTGAGTGACTGAGTGAGTGAGTGAGTGACTGAGTGAGTGACTGAGTGAATGACGAGTGAGTGAGTGTCTGAGTGACTGAGTGAGTGTGTGACTGAGTGACTGAGTGACTGAGTGAGTGACTGAGTGAGTGACTGAGTGAATGACTGAGTGAGTGAGTGACTGAGTGACTGAGTGAGTGACTGAGTGAGTGACTGAGTGAGTGTCTGAGTGAGTGAGTGATTGTCTGAGTGAGTGAGTGGCTGAGTGGCTGACTGTCTGATTGAGTGTCTGAGTGTCTGAGCGAGTGTCTGAGTGACTGAGTGAGTGACTGAGTGAGTGTCTGAGTGACTGAGTGAGTGACTGAGTGAGTGACTGAGTGACTGAGTGACTGAGTGAGTGACTGAGCGAGTGACTGAGTGAGTGAGTGACTGGCTGAGTGAGTGCTGAGTGAGTGACTGAGTGAGTGACTCAGTGACTGAGTGACTGAGTGAGTGACTGAGTGTCTGAGTGACTGAGTGAGTGACTGAGTGAGTGACTGAGTGTCTGAGTGAGTGATTGTCTGAGTGAGTGAGTGACTGAGTGAGTGACTGAGTGACTGAGTGAGTGACTGAGCGAGTGTCTGAGTGACTGAGTGAGTGACTGAGTGTCTGAGTGAGTGATTGTCTGAGTGAGTGAGTGACTGAGTGATTGTCTGAGTGAGTGAGTGAGTGACTGAGTGAGTGACTGAGTGAGTGACTGAGTGACTGAGTGAGTGACTGAGTGAGTGACTGAGTGAATGAGTGAGTGTCTGAGTGAGTGACTGAGTGGCTGAGTGAGTGGCTGAGTGAGTGACTGAGTGTCTGAGTGACTGAGTGAGTGACTGAGTCAGTGACTGAGTGAGTGACTGAGTGACTGAGTGAGTGACTGAGCGAGTGACTGAGTGAGTGACTGAGTGAGTGACTGAGTGGCTGAGTGAGTGACTGAGTGTCTGAGTGACTGAGTGAGTGACTGAGTCAGTGACTGAGTGAGTGACTGAGTGAGTGACTGAGTGAGTGACTGAGTGTCTGAGTGACTGAGTGACTGGCTGAGTGAGTGTCTGAGTGAGTGAGTGTCTGAGTGACTGACTGAGTGTCTGAGTGACTGAGTGAGTGAGTGACTGAGTGACTGAGTGACTGAGTGACTGGCTGAGTGAGTGTCTGAGTGAGTGTCTGAGTGACTGAGTGAGTGTGTGACTGAGTGACTGAGTGACTGAGTGAGTGTCTGAGTGACTGAGTGAGTGAGTGACTGAGTGACTGACTGAGTGTCTGAGTGACTGAGTGAGTGAGTGACTGAGTGACTGAGTGACTGAGTGACTGGCTGAGTGAGTGTCTGAGTGAGTGTCTGAGTGACTGAGTGAGTGTGTGACTGAGTGACTGAGTGACTGAGTGAGTGACTGAGTGAGTGACTGAGTGACTGAGTGAGTGTGTGACTGAGTGACTGAGTGACTGAGTGAGTGACTGAGTGAGTGACTGAGTGAATGACTGAGTGAGTGAGTGACTGAGTGACTGAGTGACTCAGTGACTGAGTGAGTGACTGAGTGAGTGACTGAGTGAGTGTCTGAGTGAGTACCTGAGTGAGTGTCTGAGTGAGTGACTGAGTGACTGAGTGAGTGTCTGAGTGAGTGACTGAGTGGCTGAGTGAGTGACTGAGTGTCTGAGTGACTGAGTGAGTGACTGAGTCAGTGACTGAGTGAGTGACTGAGTGACTGAGTGAGTGACTGAGCGAGTGACTGAGTGAGTGACTGAGTGAGTGACTGAGTGACTGAGTGAGTGTCTGAGTGAGTGACTGAGTGGCTGAGTGAGTGACTGAGTGAGTGACTGAGTGAGTGACTGAGTGTCTGAGTGAGTGAGTGTCTGAGTGAGTGACTGAGTGAGTGACTGAGTGAGTGTCTGAGTGACTGAGTGACTGAGTGAGTGAGTGACTGACTGAGTGACTGAGTGAGTGAGTGTCTGAGTGAGTGTCTGAGTGAGTGTCTGAGTGAGTGAGTGAGTGACTGAGTGACTGAGTGAGTGACTGAGTGACTGAGTGACTGACTGAGTGAGTGACTGACTGAGTGAGTGACTGAGTGACTGAGTGAGTGACTGACTGAGTGAGTGACTGAGTGACTGAGTGACTGAGTGACTGAGTGAGTGACTGAGTGACTGAGTGAGTGTCTGACTGAGTGACTGTCTGACTGACTGAGTGAGTGACTGACTGAACACGTGACTGAGTGACTGACTGACTGACTGAGTGACTGACTGACTGAGTGACCGAGTGACTGACTGAGTGACTGAGTGAGTGACTGAGTGACTGAGTCAGTGACTGAGTGACTGAGTGACTGAGTGAGTGAGTGACTGAGTGTGTGACTGAGTGACTGACTGAGTGTCTGAGTGAGTGACTGAGTGACTGACTGAGTGACTGACTGAGTGACTGACTGACTGCCTGAGTGAGTGACTGAGTGAGTGAGTGACTGAGTGTGTGACTGAGTGACTGACTGAGTGACTGACTGAGTGACTGACTGACTGCCTGAGTGAGTGACTGAGTGACTGACTGAGTGACTGACTGAGTGACTGACTGACTGCCTGAGTGAGTGACTGAGTGAGTGAGTGACTGAGTGTGTGACTGAGTGACTGACTGAGTGACTGACTGAGTGACTGACTGACTGTCTGAGTGAGTGACTGAGTGACTGACTGAGTGACTGAGTGACTGAGTGACTGAGTGACTGACTGAGTGACTGACTGAGTGACTGAGTGAGTGACTGAGCGGGCCTCCACTCACCAGCTGAGTCTGTTGCTGGCACTCGGCCAACATCATCTCCAGCTCTCGCACTTTGCTGCACATGAACGCGTGAGGTCGCTCTGACCTCATGAGGCCACTGGGGTCGAGGTCACCGACGACCTCCCACCACAAGGGCGACCCCTGGCGATCCCAGCCACACAGGCCGCCGGAGAAATACTTCTCCACCACCTGGGGGTAGGAGTAAGTCAGTCAGTCAGTCACTCAGACAGTCAGTCAGTCAGTCACTTAATCAGTCACTCAGTCAGTCACTTACTCAGTCAGTCATTCAGTCAGTCAGTCAGTTAGTCAGTTAGTCAGTCAGTCAGTCACTCAGTCAGTCACTCAGTCAGTCAGTCAGTCAGTTAGTCAGTTAGTCAGTCAGTCACTCAGTCAGTCACTCAGTCAGTCAGTCAGTCAGTTAGTCAGTCAGTCACTCAGTCACTCAGTCAGTCAGTCACTCAGTCACTCAGTCAGTCAGTCAGTCAGTCACTCAGTCAGTCACTTACTCAGTCACTCACTTACTCAGTCAGTCAGTTAGTCAGTCAGTCACTCAGTCAGTCAGTCAGTCAGTCAGGCGGGGGTGGGTGTAACGGGTCAGTCAGTCACTCAGTCATTCAGTCAGTCAGTCAGTTAGTCAGTCAGTCAGTCAGTCAGTCAGTCAGTCAGTCAGTCAGTCACTCAGTCAGTCACTCAGTCACTCAGTCAGTCAGTCAGTCAGTTAGTCACTCAGTCACTCAGTCACTCAGTCAGTCAGTCAGTCAGTCACTCAGTCAGTCAGTCAGTCACTCAGTCAGTCAGTCAGTCACTCAATCACTCACTCACTCAGTCAGTCAGTCAGTCACTCAGTCAGTCAGTCAGGAGGGGGGTGGGTGTAACAGGTCAGTCACTCAGTCAGTCAGTCAGTCACTCAGTCAGTCACTCAGTCACTCAGTCACTCAGTCAGTCACTCAATCACTCAGTCACTCAGTCAGTCACTCAGTCACTCAGTCACTCAGGAGGGGGTTGGGTGTAACGGGGTCGCGTTTTAACCAGGCCAGACACTCGACTGTACAGACGTACATCCATGCAGTCAGTCACTCAGTCAGTCGCTCAGTCAGTCGCTCACTCAGTCGCTCAGTCACTCAGTCAGTCGCTCAGTCAGTCGCTCAGTCAGTCGCTCAGTCAGTCGCTCAGTCGCTCAGTCAGTCACTCAGTCAGTTGCTCAGTCAATCACTCAGTCAGTCGCTCAGTCAGTCGCTCAGTCGCTCAGTCGCTCAGTCACTCAGTCGCTTAGTCACTCACTCACTCAGTCACTCACTCAGTCACTCACTCGCCCACCCACTCACTCTCCCACCCACTCCCCCACTCACCCACTCACTCACTCACCCACCCACTCACCCACTCACTAACTCTCCCACCCACCCACAAACACATCCACCCACCAACACACCCACCCACCCACTCACCCACCCACCCACCCTCTCACCCACCCACCCACTCACTCACCCACCTACCCTCTCACCCACCCAACCACTCACCCACCCACCCAACCACTCACTCACCCACCCACCCAACCACTCACTCACCCACCCACCCAGCCACTCACCCACTCCCTTACCCACCCACTCACTCACTCACCCACCCAACCACTCACCCACCCACCTTCTCACTCACCCACCCACTCACTTACCCACCCACTCACCCACCCACTTACCCACCCACCCACCCACTCACTCACCCACCCACCGACTCACCCACCATCCCACCTACTCACCCACCCACCTACCCACCCACTGGGCTGTAGTGGCAATCACGTGGATGTACTTGTCCCCGGCCTGGGAACGTCGCGGTCCTCACCTCTGACGGCTTCCAGTGCCTGACGAGGTGGTCGACATCCATCAGCTTCCGGAACTCCACGTGCTGAGGGGGGGGTGAAGAGGTTTCAACTTGGTCAGACACTCCTCACCCACTCACCTCCTCACCCACTCACTCATTCACTCACCCACTCACTCATTCACTCACCCACTCACTCACTCACCCACTAAGTCAATCACTCACTCAGTCACTCACCCACTACTCACTCAGTCACTCACTCACTCACTCAGTCACCCACTCACTCATTCACTCACCCACTCACTCATTCACTCACCCACTCACTCACCCACTAAGTCAATCACTCACCCACTCACCCACTCACTCATTCACTCACCCACTCACTCACTCACCCACTCACTCATTCACTTACACACTCACCCACTCAGTCACTCACTCACCCACCCACTCACCCACTCACCCACCCACTCACTCATTCACTCATTCACCCACTCACTCACTCACCCACTCACCCACTCACTCACCCACTCACTCACTCACACACTCACTCACCCACTCACTCACTCACTCACCCACTCACTCACTCACTCACCCACTCACTCATTCACTCATTCACTCACTCACCACTCACTCACTCACTCACCCACTCACTCACCCACTCACTCACCCACTCACTCACCCACTCACTCACCCACTCACTCACTCGCTCAGTCACTCACTCGCTCATTCACCCACTCACTTACTCACTCAATCAGTCACTCATTCACTCACTCACCCACTTACCCACTCACTCACTCACCCCCACTCACTCACTCACCCACTCACTCACCCACTCGCTCATTCACCCACCCACTCGCTCACTCACTCACTCCCCCACTCAGTCACTCACTCACCCACTCACCCACCCACTCACTCACCCACTCACTCACTCAGTAACTCACTCACTCACTCACCACTCACTCACTCACTCACCCACTCAATCACTCAGTAACTCACCCACTCGCTCACCCACTCACTCACTCACCCACTCACCACTCACTCACTCACTCACCACTTACCACTCACTCACCACTCACTCACCACTCACTCACTCACCCACTCACTCACCCACTCACTCACTCACCACTCACTCACTCACCCACTCACCCACTAAATCACTCACTCAGTACCTCACCCACTCGCTCACCCACTCACTCACCCACTCACTCACTCAGTAACTCACTCACTCACCCACTCACTCACCCACCCACCCACTCACTCAGTCACTCACCCACTACTCACTCAGTCACTCACTCACTCACCCACTCACTCACCCACTCACTCACTCACTCACCCACTCACCCACTCACTCACCCACTCACTCACCCACTCACTCACTCGCTCAGTCACTCACTCGCTCATTCACCCACTCACTTACTCACTCAATCAGTCACTCAGTCACTCACTCACCCACTTACCCACTCACTCACTCACTCACCCCCCACTCACTCACTCACTCACCCACTCACTCACCCACTCGCTCATTCACCCACTCGCTCAATCACTCACCCACTCGCTCACTCACTCACCCACTCGCTCACCCACTCACTCCCTCACCCACTCAGTCACTCACTCACTCACCCACTCACTCACTCACTCATCCACTCACTCACTCACTCACCACTCACCCACTCACTCACCCACCCACTCACTCACCCACCCACTCACTCACCCACCCACTCACTCAGTAACTCACTCACTCACTCTCCACTCACTCACTCACTCACCCACTCACCCACTAAATCACTCACTCACTAAATCACTCACTCAGTAACTCACCCACTCGCTCACCCACTCACTCACCCACTCACTCACTCAGTAACTCACTCACTCACCCACTCACTCACCCACTCACTCACTCTCCCACCCACTCAGTCACTCACCCACTACTCACTCAGTCACTCACTCACTCACTCACCCACTCACTCACTCAGTCACTCACTCACTCACTGGTGGTGGTGAGGAGTGGTGGTGGTGGTGAAGATTGATGGTGAGGAAATCAGTGGTGAGTAGTGGTGAGCAGTGGTGAGTAGTGGTGGTGAATAGTGGTGAGTAGTGGTGAGTAGTAATGGTGAATAGTGGTGAGTAGTGGTGAGTAGTGGTGGTGAATAGTGGTGAGTAGTGGTGGTGAGTAGTGGTGGTGAGTAGTGGTGACTAGTGGTGAGTAGTGGTGAGTAGTGGTGAGTGAGTGGTGAGTAGTGGTGAGTAGTGGTGACTAGTGGTGAGTGAGTAGTAGTAGTAGTGGTGGTGAGTAGTGGTGGTGAGTGGTGAGTATCTGAGTGGTGAGTATCTGAGTGGTGAGTAGCAGTAGTAGTGGTGGTGCGGAGTGGTGCGGAGTGGTGAATAGTGGTGAGTGAGTGAGTGGTGAGTGAGTGAGTGGTGAGTGAGTGAGTGGTGAGTGAGTGAGTGGTGAGTGAGTGAGTGGTGAGTGAGTGAGTGAGTGGTGAGTGGTGAGTGAGTGGGTGAGTGGTGAGTGACTGAGTGAGTGAGTGGTGAGTGAGTGAGTGGTGAGTGAGTGAGTGAGTGAATAAATGGGTGAGTGAGTGGGTGAGTGGTGAGTGACTGAGTGAGTGAGTGGGTGAGTGGTGAGTGAGTGGTGAGTGAGTGAGTGGTGAGTGGTGAGTGAGTGGGTGAGTGGTGAGTGAGTGGTGAGTGAGTGGTGAGTGAGTGGTGAGTGGTGAGTGAGTGGTGAATAGTGGTGAGTGAGTGAGTGGTGAGTGAGTGGTGAGTGACTGAGTGAGTGAGTGAGTGGGTGAGTGGTGAGGAGTGGTGAGGAGTGGTGAGCGAGTGAGTGAGTGAGTGGTGAAGAGTGGTGAGTGAGTGGTGAGTGAGTGTGTGAGTGAGTGGTGTGTGAGTGGGTGAGTGGGTGAGTGAGTGGTGAGGAGTGGTGAGGAGTGGTGAGTGAGTGAGTGGTGAAGAGTGGTGAGGAGTGGTGAGGAGTGGTGAGTGAGTGAGTGGTGAGGAGTGGTGAGGAGTGGTGAGGAGTGTGTGAGTGTGTGAGTGGGTGGTGAGTGAGTGAGTGGGTGAGTGAGTGGTGAGAGGTGAGTGAGTGGTGAGTGAGTGAGTGGTGAGTGAGTGGGTGAGTGATTGCATGAGTGAGTGGTGAGTGAGTGAGTGAGTGACTGAGTGGATGGGTGAGTGAGTGGGTGAGTGAGTGAGTGAGTGGTGAGTGAGTGAGTGGTGAGTGGGTGAGTGAGTGAGTGAGTGGTGAGTGAGTGTGTGAGTGAGTGGGTGAGTGATTGAGTGGGTGAGTGAGTGGTGAATGAGTGAGTGAGTGGTGAGTGAGTGAGTGGTGAGGAGTGGTGAGTGAGTGGTGAGGAGTGGTGAGTGAGTGGTGGAGGAGTGGTGAGTGAGTGGTGAGGAGTGGTGAGTGAGTGGTGAGGAGTGGTGAGTGAGTGGTGAGGAGTGGTGAGTGAGTGGTGAGGAGTGGTGAGTGAGTGGTGAGGAGTGGTGAGTGAGTGGTGAGGAGTGGTGAGTGAGTGGTGAGGAGTGGTGAGTGAGTGGTGAGGAGTGGTGAGGAGTGGTGAGGAGTGGTGAGTAGGAGTGGTGAGGAGTGGTGAGTGTAGTGGTGAGGAGTGGTGAGGAGTGGTGAGTAGGAGTGGTGAGGAGTGGTGAGGAGTGGTGAGGAGTGGTGAGGAGTGGTGAGTGAGTTGGTGAGTGGTGAGTGAGGAGTGGTGAGGAGTGGTGAGGAGTGGTGAGTGAGCGGTGTTTCTCACCTTTCGAATCATCATCTCAGCATCTTTTACGTTGAATTTCCTGGCTGCAAAAAATAAACAGCACACGTGGTGAGGAGTGGTGAGGAGGTGGTGAGGAGTGGTGAGGAGTGGTGAGGAGTGGTGAGGAGTGGTGAGGAGTGGTGAGGTGGTGGTGGTGAGGAGTGGTGAGGAGTGGTGAGGAGTGGTGTGAATCTCCTCACCTCTGAGCCACTTGAGGAGGTAATGATCATCGCTGTACGGTAACCATGGTGACACGTCCAGTACAGCCTCACGGAACTACACACAGACACACACAGACACACACACACACAGACACACACACACAGACACACACACAGACACACACACAGACACACACAGACACACACACACACAGACACACACACAGACACACACACAGACAAAGACAAAGATCCCCCGTATAGCCTTAACAGACTGTAGGGGCAAGTGCTGTTAGCGAGCACCTATGAAGGCCGGAACGGTACACGAGGGGGTGGGTGGCCAGCACCACGCCCGACCGCCTTTGTCACCCTAGTGGCGATGTTTACACACCGCTACACCAGGTACTCATTTGAGGAGTGGTGAGGACACACACACAGACACACACACAGACACACACACAGACACACACACAGTCACACACACACAGACACACACACACAGACACACACACAGACACACACAGTGACACACACACACAGACACACACACAGACACACACACACAGACACACACACACAGTCACACACAGAGACACACACAGACACACACAGACACACACAGATATAGACACACACAGACACACACACACAGACACACACACACACAGTCACACACAGACACACACACAGACACACACAGACACACACAGATATAGACACACACACAGACACACACACACAGACACACACACAGATATATAGACACAGACAGGTGGTAGTGATGATGATGGTTGTGATGATGGTGATGGTGCTGATGATGGTGGTGCTGATGATGGTGGTGCTGATGATGATGGTGATTATGATGATGGTGATGATGCTGATGGTGATGATGATGGTGCTAATGATTTACTATGTGGAGGCGTGGTGCTGGTGATAATGATTGTGTTCAGACTGATGATGTCAGTGGGTGTGGTGGTGGTGATGGTTTTCATGGTGAGTGTGTGTGTGCGTGTGTGTCTGTGTGTGTGTGTCTGTGTGTGTCTGTTTGTGTCTGTGTGTGTCTGTTTGTGTCTGTTTGTGTCTGTGTGTGTGTCTGTGTGTGTGTGTGTGTGTGTGTGTGTGTCTGTGTGTGTCTGTTTGTGTCTGTTTGTGTCTGTGTGTGTGTCTGTGTCTGTGTGCGTCTGTGTGTCTGTGTGTGTCTGTGACTGTGTAACCTGTGGAAAAAAAAACGGTGATCCAATCTCCGACCCCCAGGAACAGGTTCGCAGATTTGCTCAGCATTTCTGTGAGGTCCTGGGGGAGGGAAAATCCCTCAGCCAGGAAAACATCGTGGCACAAAGTGAGGATGACCCTGCTGAGGCTGCGGTGCCTCAAATATTGGAAGAAGTCACCCCCTGTGAGTGGCTGGCTGAGGTGCCATCTGTTGAGGAAGTACTGAAGGCGATCCGGAGTCTGTGACCAGGAAAGGCAGCGGGCAGAGATGATCTCCCAAGCGAAATGCTGAGGGAGGGTGGCGTTTGTGCACAGACTGCCCTATATGACATCATAACAACAATCTGGACCACTGGACGGGTTCCGCAGGATTGGAAGGATGCCCTGGTGGTCGCCCTCTTTAAGAAGGGGGACCGCACAGACTGTAACAACTACAGGGGCATCTCACTCCTCAGTGTGCCGGGAAAGGTCCTGGCAAGGATTATTCAACATCGCCTCGCCAGGCACGCTGAGGAGAGGCTTGCGGAGCCCCAATGCGGTTTCAGGAAAGAGCGGTCCTGCACGGATGCCATATTTTCTGTCCGTCTGCTACAGCAGAGGTGTAGGGAATTCCAGCAAGACCTACGTCTCTGCTTAATTGACCTGGTCAAGGCCTATGATACCATCCAGTAGGCCCGGGCTCTGGGTCGTTCTTCGTGCTTGTGGAGACCCCGACCCTCTGCTCACGATCATTAAGGGCCTTGAGGAAGTACTGAGGGGCGATCCGGAGTCTCTGAGACCAGGAAAGGCAGCGGGCAGAGACGATCTCCCCAAGTGAAAATGCCGAGGGAGGGCGGCGTTTGTGCACAGACTGCCCTACGTGACATCGCAACAACAGTCTGGGCCACTGGACGGGTTCCGCAGGATTGGAAGGATGCCCTGGTGGTCCCACCTCGTACCGCTAGGCGTCAACAAGACTTCTGGCTCCGGGCTGAACTCGAAGCTTTTCAAAGCCATTCTCTGGCTGGGTCTTTAAAAAAAAACAGTTTTTAATTGAACGCGAAACCACGCAAAACCATTTCAAATATGTGCCTGCTAGTCCACACGGCGGATTAGAGACACATAGAGATACATAGAGACACATAGAGATACACAGAGACACATTGAGACACATAGAGACACATAGAGATACACAGAGACCCATAGAGACACATAGAGATACATAGAGACCCATAGAGACACAGAGACATACATAGAGATACATAAAGATACATAGAGACACATAGAGACACACAGAGATACATAGAGACCCATAGAGATACATAGAGACACATAGAGATACACAGAGACCCATAGAGACACATAGAGATACATAGAGATACACAGAGATACACAGAGACCCATAGAGATACATAGAGATACATAGAGATACATAGAGACACATAGACATACATAGAGACCCATAGAGACCCATAGAGATACATAGAGACCCATAGAGATACATAGAGACCCATAGAGACCCACAGAGATACATAGACACACACAGAGACCCACAGAGACACATAGAGACACACAGAGACACATAGAGACACATAGAGATACACAGAGATACATAGAGACACATAGAGATACATAGAGGCCCATAGAGATACATAGAGACACACAGAGATACACAGAGACCCATAGAGACACATAGAGATAGAGACCCATAGAGATACATAGAGACACATAGAGATACACAGAGACCCATAGAGACCCACAGAGATACATAGAGACCCATAGAGATACATAGAGACCCATAGAGATACATAGAGACCCACAGAGATACATAGACACACAGAGACACATAGAGACACACAGAGACACATAGAGACACACAGAGATACATAGAGACACACAGAGACACATAGAGACACATAGAGACACACAGAGACACATAGAAATACACAGAGACACATAGAGATACATAGAGATACATAGAGACACACAGAGACACATAGAGACACACAGAGACACATAGAGACACACAGAGACCCACAGAGACTCATAGAGATACATAGAGACTCATAGAGATACAGAGACCCACAGAGACCTACAGAGACACACAGAGACCCACAAAGACCCACAGAGACACACAGAGACACACAGAGACCCACAGAGACACATAAAGACCCACAGAGACCCACAGAGATACACAGAGACCCACAGAGACACATAGAGACACATAGAGAACCATAGAGACTCATAGAGATACATAGAGACTCATAGAGATACAGAGACCCACAGAGACCCACAGAGACACATAGAGACCCACAGAGACCCACAGAGACACACAGAGACCCACAGAGACACATACAGACCCACAGAGACCCAAAGAGATACACAGAGACCCACAGAGACACATAGAGACCCACAGAGACACATAAATACCCACAGAGACACATAGAGTCACACAGAGACACACAGAGACACACAGAGACACATAGAGACCCACAGAGACCCATAGAGACCCACAGAGACACACAGAGACCCACAGAGACACACAGAGACACACAGAGACACACAGAGACCCACAGAGACACACAGAGACCCACAGAGACACACAGAGACCCACAGAGACACACAGAGACACACAGAGACCCACAGAGACACACAGAGACACACAGAGACCCACAGAGACACATAAAGACCCACAGAGACCCACAGAGACCCACAGAGATACACAGAGACACATAGAGACCCACAGAGACACACAGAGACACACAGAGACCAATAGAGACACATAGAGACACATAGAGACCCACAGAGACACATAAATACCCATAGAGACACAGAGAGACACACAGAGACACACACAGACCCACAGAGACACACAGAGACACACAGAGACACATAGAGACCCACAGAGACACATAGAGACACACAGAGACACACAGAGACCCACAGAGCCTCATAGAGACCCACAGAGACACACAGAGACACACAGAGACACATAGAGACCCACAGAGACACGCAGAGACACACAGAGACACATAGAGACCCACAGAGACACACCGAGACACATAGAGACTCACAGAGACACACAGAGACCCACAGAGATACATAGAGACCCACAGAGACACACAGAGACACACAGAGACCCATAGAGACACATAGAGACCTGTATAGACACATAGAGACATAGAGACCCATAGAGACTCATAGAGATACATAGAGACTCATAGAGATACAGAGACCTGTAGAGATATAGAGACTCATAGAGCCACATAGAGACCCACAGAGACACACAGAGACCCACAGAGACCCACAGAGACACATAGCGACACACAGAGACACACAGAGACCCACAGAGATACACAGAGACCCACAGAGATACACAGAGACCCACAGAGATACATAGAGGCACACAGAGACACACAGAGACACACAGAGACCCATAGAGACACATAGAGACCTGTAGAGACACATAGAGACACATAGAGACCCATAGAGACTCATAGAGATACATAGAGACTCATAGAGATACAGAGACCTGTAGAGATATAGAGACTCATAGAGCCACATAGAGACCCACAGAGACACACAGAGACACACAGAGACACATAGAGACCCACAGAGACACACCGAGACACATAGAGACTCACAGAGACACACAGAGACCCACAGAGACCCACAGAGACACACAGAGACACACAGAGGCACACAGAGACACACAGAGACCCACAGAGACCCACAGAGACCCAAAGAGACCCACAGAGACCCACAGAGGCACACAGAGACACACAGAGACACACAGAGACCCACAGAGACACACAGAGACACACATAGACCCACAGAGACACACAGAGACCCACAGAGACACACAGAGACCCACAGAGACACATAGAGACACACAGAGACACACAGAGACCCACAGAGACACACAGAGACACACAGAGACCCACAGAGACACACAGAGACCCACAGAGACACATAGAGACACATAGAGACCCATCGAGACACACAGAGACACACAGAGACACACAGAGACAAACAGAGACCCATAGAGACCCACAGAGACCCACAGAGACACACAGAGACCCACAGATACCCACACAGACCCACAGAGACCCACAGAGACACACAGAGACCCACAGAGACACACAGAGACCCACAGAGACACACAGAGACACACAGAGACACACAGAGACACACAGAGACCCACAGAGACACACAGAGACACACAGAGACCCACAGAGACACACAGAGACACACAGAGACCCACAGAGGCACACAGAGACACACAGAGACACACAGAGACCCACAGAGACACACAGAGACACACAGAGACCCACAGAGACCCACAGAGACCCACAGAGACCCACAGAGACCCACAGAGACACACAGAGACCCACAGAAACCCACAGAGACCCACAGAGACCCACAGAGACACACAGAGACCCACAGAGACCCACAGAGACACACAGAGACACACAGAGACACAAAGACTTCGCTGAACTTTGTTTATAATGCCTGACCTGCCCCATCGCGAATGTCAGCGGCTCAAACGCAGCGACTTCGCCCCGGGCAAGTCCTCTCGACGCCCCCACGTGCATTCTACGTGCGCGGGGGCTTAAACCGGTAGGGGATCCCGGGGGGGGGGGGGGGGAATTCCACGCGACCACGGGGACAGCCACTCAAAAGAGACAAACGCGAGCGGCCGAGGTGAGAGAGGCTGCAACTCCTTTGTCGGGAGCTGGACCGGTACCGTCTGATGGATCTCTGCGGTTTTCAGGGGGTTCCTGTGGACCGGCTCTGGCGAGAGAGGCTGCCAACTCCTCTGTCGGGAGCTGGACCGGTACCGTCTGCTGTGATCTCTGCGATATTCAGGGGGTTCCTGTGGACCGGCTCTGGCGAGAGAGGCTGCCACTCCTCTGTCGGGCGCTGGACCGGTACCGTCTGGATCTCTGCAGTATTGAGGGGGTTCCTGTAGACCGGCTCTGGCGAGAGAGGCTGCAACTTCTCTGTCGGGAGCTGGACCGATACTGTCTGGATCTCTGCGGTATTCAGGGGGTTCCTGTGGACCGGCTGTGGCGAGAGAGGTTGCAACTCCTCTGTCGGGAGCTGGACCGGTACCGTCTGATGGATCTCTGCGGCATTCAGGGGGTTCCTGTGGACCGGCTGTGGCGTGAGAGGCTGCCAACTCCTCTGTCGGGAGCTGGACCAGTACCGTCTGCTGTGATCTCTGCGGTATTCAGGGGGTTCCTGTGGACCGGCTCTGGCGAGAGAGGTTGCAACTCCTCTGTCGGGAGCTGGACCGGTACCGTCTGATGGATCTCTGCGGTATTCAGGGGGTTCCTGTGGACCGGCTGTGGCGTGAGAGGCTGCCAACTCCTCTGTCGGGAGCTGGACCAGTACCGTCTGCTGGATCTCTGCGGTATTCAGGGGGTTCCTGTGGACCGGCTCTTGCGAGAGAAGCTGCCAACTCCTCTGTCGGGAGCTGGACCAGTACCGTCTGCTGTGATCTCTGCGGTATTCAGGGGGTTCATGTGGACCGGCTCTGGCGAGAGAGGCTGCCAACTCCTCTGTCGGGAGCTGGACCGGTACCATCTGCTGTGATATCTGCGGCATTCAGGGGGTCCGGTGGACCGGCTGTGGCGTGAGAGGCTGCCAACTCCTCTGTCGGGAGCTGGACCGGTACCGTCTGCTGTGATCTCTGCAGTATTCAGGGGGTTCCTGTGGACCGGCTGTGGTGTGAGAGGCTGCCACTCCTCTGTCGGGAGCTGGACCGGTACCGTCTAGATCTCTGTGGTATTCAGGAGGTCCGGTGGACCGGCTGTAGCGTGAGAGGCTGCCAACTCCTCTGTCGGGAGCTGGACCGGTAACCGTCTGCTGGATCTCTGTGGCATTCAGGAGGTCTGGTGGACCGGCTGTGGCGTGAGAGGCTGCCAACTCCTCTGTCGGGAGCTGGACCGGTACCGCCTGCTGTGATCTCTGCGGTATTCGGGGGGTTCCTGTGGACCGGCTGTGGCATGAAGGCTGCAACTCCTCTGTCGGGAGCTGGACCGGTACCGTCTAGATCTCTGTGTTATTCAGGAGGTCCGGTGGACCGGCTGTGGCGTGAGAGGCTGCAACTCCTCTGTCGGGAGCTGGACCGGTACCGTCTGCTGGATCTCTGCGGTATTCGGGGGTTCCTGTGGACCGGCTGTGGCATGAGAGGCTGCAACTCCTCTGTCGGGAGCTGGACCGTACCGTCTAGATCTCTGTAGTATTCAGGGGGTTCCTGTGGACCGGCTGTGGCGTGAGAGGCTGCAACTCCTCTGTCGGGAGCTGGACCGGTAACGTCTGCTGTGATCTCTGCAGTATTCGGGGGTTCCTGTGGACCGGCTGTGGCATGAGATGCTGCAACTCCTCTGTCGGGAGCTGGACCGGTACCGTCTAGATCTCTGTGGTATTCAGGAGGTCCGGTGGACCGGCTGTGGTGTGAGAGGCTGCAACTCCTCTGTCGGGAGCTGGACCGGTACCGTCTGCTGGATCTCTGTGGCATTCAGGGGGTTCCTGTGGACCAGCTCTGGTGTGAGAGGCTGCAACTCCTCTGTCGGGAGCTGGACCGGTACCGTCTGCTGGATCTCTGCAGTATTCAGGGGCTTCCTGTGGACCGGCTGTGGTGTGAGAGCTGCAACTCCTCTGTCGGGAGCTGGACCGGTACCGTCCGCTGGATCTCTGCAGTATTCAGGGGGTTCCTGTGGACCGGCTGTGGCGTGAGAGGCTGCCACTCCTCTGTCGGGAGCTGCACCGTACCGTCCGCTGGATCTCGTCGGCATTCAGGGGCTTCCTGTGGACCGGCTCTGTCTCCTGCCACCATGAGGGGTGGACAGTTGTCTTTGTTTTTGTTGGGTGTACGTGTGTGTGTGTACGTGTTTGTGTATACGTGTGTGTGTATACGTGTGTACGTGTGTATGTGTGTACGTGTGTGTGTGTGTTGTACGTGTGTGTGTGCGTGTTTGTGTATACGTGTGTGTGTATACGTGTGTATGTGTGTACGTGTGTGTGTATACGTGTGTGTGTATGTGTGTGTATACGTGTGTGTATACGTGTGTGTACGTGTGTATGTACGTTTGTACGTGTGTACGTGTGTGTGTGTGTGTGTACGTGTGTATGTGTACGTGTGTGATGATTGTGATGGTGGTGATGGTGATGATGGTGATGATGGTGGTGGTCATGATGATGGTGGTGATGATGTTGGTGATGATGGTGATGATGATGGTGGTGATGATGGTGATGATGGTGGTCATGATGATGATGGTGGTGATGTTGGTGATGGTGATGATGTTGGTGATGATGATGGTGATGGTGGTGATGATGGTGATGGTGGTGATGGTGGTGATGATGGTGATGATGATGTTGATGGTGGTGATGGTGATGATGTTGGTGATGATGGTGATGATGGTGATGGTGGTGATGGTGATGATGTTGATGATGGTGATGGTGGTGATGATAGTGATGGTGGTGATGGTGATGATGATGATGTTCATGATGTTGTTGATGTTGTTGGTGATGTTTGTGATGATGTTGTTGATGTTGTTGATGTTATTGTTGTTGATGTTGTTGATGTTATTGTTGTTGATGTTGTTGATGATGATGTTATTGTTGTTGATGATGATGTTGTTGTTATTGTTGTTGATGATGATGTTGTTATTGTTGTTATTGTTGTTGATGTTGTTGTTGTTGTTGATGTTGTTGATGTTGTTGGTGATGTTTGTAATGATGTTGTTGATGTTGTTGATGTTGTTGATGTTATTGTTGTTGATGTTGTTGTTGATGTTGTTGTTGATGTTGTTGATGATGTTGTTGTTGATGTTGTTGATGATGATGTTGTTGATGTTGTTGTTGATGTTGTTGATGATGATGTTGTTGATGTTGTTGATGTTATTGTTGTTGATGTTGTTGTTGATGTTGTTGTTGATGTTGTTGATGATGATGTTGTTGATGTTGTTGATGATGATGTTGTTGATGTTGTTGATGTTGATGTAGTTGATGTTATTGTGTTGATGTTGTTGTTGATGTTATTGTTGTTGATGTTGTTGATGTTGTTGTTGATGTTGTTGATGTTGTTGTTGATGTTGTTGATGATGTTTTGATGTTGTTGTTATTGTTGTTGATGTTGTTGATGATGTTGTTGTTGATGATGTTGTTGTTGATGTTGTTGATGTTATTGATGATGTTGATGATGTTGTTGATGTTGATGTAGATGATGTTGTTGATGTTGTTGTTATTGTTGTTGTTATTGTTGTTGTTGATGTTATTGTTATTGTTGTTGTTGATGTTATTGTTGTTGTTGATGATGAGGTTGTTGTTATTGTTGTTGATGATGTTGTTGTTATTGTTGTTGTTGATGTTATTGTTGATGATGTTATTGTTTATGTTGTTATTGTTGTTGTTGATGTTATTGTTGTTGATGTTGTTATTGTTGTTGATGTTATTGATGTTGTTATTGTTGTTGATGATGTTGTTGTTGTTGCCTTCTCAAGTGCTGCTTCTTGAGTCTCGGTCAATTTCCTCTTCGTGGAAATCATCGCCAGGAGGCGGGAGGGGCCCTGGGGGGAGGGGTGGGGGGGAGGGGTGGGGGTGGGGGAGGGGGTGGCGGGAGGGGTGGAGGAGGGGGGAGGGGTGAGGGGGTGGGGGGTGGGGGGGGGGGGTGGAGGGGGGGGGGAGGGGGTGAGGGGTGGGGGGGAGGGGGGGAGGGGGCAGAGGGCAAGGGTTAAAGTTCGAGATAGGGGAGCGGTGGTGCAGCGGTTAGCGCGCTGCACAGACAAAGCTCCCCCAGGTAGCCTCTAACAGGGGCTGTAGTAGGGGCAAGTGCCGTTGGTAGTAGCGAGTATCACAGCTGCCTATGAAGGACACACACACAGTGACAAACACAGTGATACACACACAGTGACACACACAGTGATACACACACAGTGATACACACAGTGACACACAGAGTGACACACACACACAGTGACACACACAGTGACACACAGAGTGATACACACACAGTGACACACACAGTGACACACAGAGTGACACACACACAGTGACACACACACAGTGACACACACACACAGTGACACACACACAGTGACAACACCTTGACACACACACAGTGACACACACACAGTGACACACACACAGTGACACACACAGTGACACACACACAGTGACACACACACAGTGATACACACACACAGTGAAACACACAGTGACACACACACAGTGACACACACACAGTGACACACACAGTGACACACACAGTGACATACACACAGTGATACACCACACAGTGACACACACACAGTGACACACACACAGTGATACACGCACACAGTGACACACACACAGTGACACACACAGTGACACACACAGTGACATACACACAGAGACACACACACAGTGACACACACAGTGACACACCCACACAGTGAGACACAGTGACACACACAGTGACACACACACACAGTGACACACACACAGTGACACACACAGTGACACACACACAGTGACACACAGTGACACACACACAGTGACACACACACAGTGACACACAGAGTGACACACACCGTGACACACACACAGTGACACACACACAGTGACACACACAGTGACACACACACAGTGACACACACACACAGTGACACACACACACACAGTGACACACACACACCAGTGATACACACACAGTGACACACACACAGTGACACACACAGTGACACACACAGTGACACACACACAGTGACACACTCACACAGTGACACACACAGTGACACACACACAGTGACACACACAACAGTTACACACACAGTGACACACAGAGTGACACACACACAGTGACAAACACAGTGACACACACACAGTGACACACACACAGTGACACACACAGTGACACACACACAGTGACACACACATAGTGACACACACACAGTGACACAGAGTGACACACATAGTGACACACACACAGTGACAAACACAGTGACACACACACAGTGACAAACACAGCGACACACACACAGTGACACACACAGTGACACACACAGTGACACACAGTGACACACACAGTGACACACTCACACAGTGACACACACACAGTGACACACACAGTGACACACACACAGTGACACACACAGTGACACACAGAGTGACACACACAGAGTGACACACACAGTGACACACACACAGTGACACACACAGTGATACACACAGTGACACACACAGTGACACACACACAGTGACACACACAGTGACACACACAGTGACACACACACAGTGACACACACAGTGACACACACACAGTGACACACACATAGTGACACACACACAGTGACACACACACAGTGACACACACACAGTGACACACACACAGTGACACAGAGTGACACACACAGTGACAAACACAGTGACACACACACAGTGACACCCACACAGTGACACACACACAGTGACAAACATAGTAACACACACACAGTGACACACACACAGTGACACACACAGTGACACAGAGTGACACACATAGTGACACACACACAGTGACACACACATAGTGGCACACACACAGTGACACCCACACAGTGACACACACACAGTGACACACACAGTGATACACACAGTGACACACACAGTGACACACACACAGTGACACACACAGTGACACACACACACAGTGACACACACACAGTGACACACTCACAGTGACACACACAGTGACACACACAGTGACACATACACAGTGACACACACATAGTGACACACACACAGTGACACACACACAGTGACACACACACAGTGACACAGAGTGACACACACACAGTGACAAACACAGTGACACACACACAGTGACACACACACAGTGACACACACAATGACACACACACAGTGACACACACATAGTGACACACACACAGTGACACACAGTGACACACAGAGTGACACACACACAGTGACAAACAGTGACACACACACAGTGACAAACACAGTGACACACACACAGTGACAAACACAGTGACACACACACAGTGACACACACACACAGTGACACACACAGTGACACACACACAGTGACACACACACAGTGACACCCACACAGTGACACACACACAGTGACAAACATAGTAACACACACACAGTGACACACACACAGTGACACACACAGTGACACAGAGTGACACACATAGTGCACACACACAGTGACACACACAGTGACACAGAGTGACACACATAGTGACACACACACAGTGACACACACACAGTGACACACACAGTGACACAGAGTGACACACATAGTGACACACACACAGTGACACACACAGTGACACACACAGTGACACAGAGTGACACACATAGTGACACACACACAGTGACACACACATAGTGACACACACCACAATGTCACTCCGGTTGATGGGAACTGTGTGAGTGAGTGTGTGTGAGTGTGTCTGTGTGTGTGTCTCTGTGTGTGTCTATGTGTGTGTGTCTCTGTGTGTGTGTCTAACTGTGTGTGTGTCTCTGTGTGTGTGTCTAACTGTGTGTGTGTCTATGTGTGTGTGTCTCTGTGTGTGTCTGTCTGTGTGTATGTCTGTGTGTGTGTCACTGTGTGTGTGTCTGTGTGTGTGTGTCTGTGTGCGTGTCTGTGTGTTTCTGTGTCTGTGTGTCTGTGTGTGTGTCTGTATCTATGTGTGTGTCTGTGTGTGTGTCTGTGTCTGTGTGTGTGTCACTGTGTGTGTCACTGTGTGTGTGTGTCACTGTGTGTGTGTCACTGTGTGTGTCACTGTGTGTGTGTGTGTCACTGTGTGTGTCTGTGTGTCACTGTGTGTGTCTGTGTGTGTCACTGTGTGTCTGTGTCTGTGTGTGACTGTGTGTGTCTGTGTGTGTCTCTGTGTGTGTGTCTGTGTGTCTGTGTGTGTGTGTCACAGTGTGTGTGTGTGTGTCACAGTGATGCTACTGCACATAGTGGCCCTGTCGGAGGCTACCCGGGGGAGCTTTGCCTTTGTGTGTGCGAGGGTGAGTGAGGGTGAGTGGGTGAGTGAGTGAGTGGGTGAGTGAGTGAGTGGGTGAGTGAGTGAGTGAGGGTGAGTGAGTGGGTGAGTGTGTGAGTGAGTGGGTGAGGGTGACTCACCGGTAGGGAGCGAGCGAGTGTGTGTGTGTGAGCGAGTGAGTGGGTGAGTGAGTGGGTGAGGGTGTGAGTGAGTGGTGGGTGAGTGAGTGGTGAGGGTGAGTGTGAATGAGTGTGGGTGAGTGAGTGAGTGAGAGTGACTCACCGGTAGAGAGTGAGTGTGTGGGTGAGTGTGTGGGTGTGTGAGTGAGTGGGTGAGTGAGTGGGTGAGGGTGAGTGAGTGAGTGTGTGGGTGTGTGAGTGAGTGGGTGAGTGAGTGGGTGAGTGAGTGGGTGAGTGAGTGGGTGAGTGAGTGGGTGAGTGTGAATGAGTGTGAGTGACTCACCGGTAGAGAGTGAGTGTATGAGTGAGTGAGTGTGTGAGTGAGTGAGTGGGTGAGTGAGTGAGTGGGTGATGGTGAGTGTGAATGAGTGTGGGTGAGTGAGTGTGTGTGAGTGACTCACCGGTAGAGAGTGAGTGTGTGTGTGTGAGTGTGAGTGACTCACCGGTAGAGAGTGAGTGTGAGTGAGTGGGTGAGTGTGAGTGAGTGTGAGTGACTCACCGGTAGAGAGTGAGTGTGGGTGTGAGTGTGTGAGTGAGTGAGTGTGAGTGACTCACCGGTAGAGAGTGAGTGTGGGTGTGAGTGTGTGAGTGAGTGAGTGTGAGTGACTCACCGGTAGAGAGAGTGTGTGTGGGTGAGTGTGTGGGTGTGTGAGTGAGTGGGTGAGTGTGAGTGAGTGACTCACCGGTAGAGAGTGTGTATGTGGGTGAGTGTGTGGGTGAGTGTGAGTGACTCACCGGTAGAGAGTGTGTATGTGGGTGAGTGTGTGGGTGTGTGAGTGGGTGAGTGAGGGTGAGTGTGGGTGTGTGAGTGAGTGGGTGTGAGTGACTCACCCGTAGAGAGTGTGTGTATGTGAGTGTGTGGGTGAGTGTGAGTGACTCACCGGTAGAGAGTGAGTGTATGTGAGTGAGTGTATGTGAGTGTATGTGTGTGAGTGTGGGTGAGTGTGTGTGAGTGAGTGACTCACCGGTAGAGAGTGAGTGTATGTGGGTGAGTGAGTGGGTGAGTGTGAGTGAGTGTGAGTGACTCACCGGTAGAGAGTGAGTGTGAGTGTGTGTGAGTGAGTGAGTGTGAGTGAGTGTGAGTGACTCACCGGTAGAGAGTGAGTGTGAGTGTGTGTGAGTGTGTATGTGTGTGTGTGTATGTGGGTGTGTGTGTGTGTGGGTGTGAGTGAGTGGGTGAGTGTGTGAGTGAGTGTGTGAGTGTATGTGTGGGTGTGTGAGTGTGGGTGAGTGTGAGTGAGAGTGAGTGTGGGTGAGTGTGTGTGAGTGTGAGTGACTCACCGGTAGAGAGTGAGTGTATGTGAGTGTGTGAGTGTATGTGTATGTGTGTGAGTGTGTGTGTGAGTGACTCACCGGTAGAGAGTGAGTGTGTGTGAGTGAGAGAGTGAGAGTGTGTGAGTGTGTGTGTGAGTGAGTGGGTGAGTGAGAGTGAGTGACTCACCGGTAGAGAGTGAGTGTGTGGGTGAGTGTATGTGAGTGAGTGACTCACCGGTAGAGAGTGAGTGTGGGTGTGAGTGTATGTGAGTGAGTGTATGTATGTATGTGGGTGAGTGTGTATGTGAGTGTGTATGTGTGTGAGTGAGAGCCTCACGCGAAGCGCTTCCTGACACCGCGAGTAGACGTCACTAACCCCTCCCCCTAGGCTCCACCCACACAGTGACACACACACAGACACACACACAGTGACACACACACAGTGACACACACAGTGTCACACACACAGTGACACACACACAGTGATACACACACAGTGACACACACAGTGACACACACAGTGACATACACACAGTGAGACACACACACAGTGACACACACACAGTGACACACACAGTGACACACACACAGTGATACACACACACAGTGACACACACAGTGACACACACACAGTGACACACACAGTGACACACACACAGTGACACAGTGACACACACAGTGACACACTCACACAGTGACACACTCACACAGTGACACAGTGACACACTCACACAGTGACACACTCACACAGTGACACACTCACACAGTGACACACTCACACAGTGACACACTCACACAGTGACACACTCACACAGTGAGACACTCACACAGTGACACACACAGTGACACACACACACACAGTGACACACACACAGTGACACACACAGTGACACACACACAGTGACACACACACAGTGACACACACACACACAGTGACACACACACAGTGACACACACACACACAGTGACACACACACAGTGACACACACACAGTGACACACACACACACAGTGACACACACACAGTGACACACACACACACAGTGACACACACACAGTGACACACACACACAGACACAGAACACAGACACACACACAGACACACGCAGACACACACACACAGACACACACACTGACATACACTCACTCACCCACTCTCTACTACTGCTGGATGGAGATCGATGGGATCACAACACTAGGGTCTATCCACGATCTCATGCACCTAGCCTGGCACAGCGGTGCAACCCATGGCACCTGCTGGGTCTGTCTCGTGCACCTAGCCTGGCACAGCGGTGCAACCCATGGCACCTGCTGGGTTTGTCTCGTGCACCTAGCCTGGCACAGGCCACGTGGTGTTGCTAGCCCCCCCCACTCAACCTCTCAGCCCCACCTCTCCCTCCGCTCTCCTGATAACTGAGTCTGATAATGATTTTTAGTTATCAGTCGTCTGTGTGAGGGAGAGGGAGACACGAGGAGACATTGTAAACTCACCCACTCACTCACCCCCTCACTCACCCACTCACTCATCCACTCACTTACTCACTCACCCACTCACTCATCCACTCACTCACTCATCCACTCACTCACTCACTCATCCACTCACTCACTCACCCACTCACTCATCCACTCACTTACTCATCCACTCACTTACTCACTCACCCACTCACTCATCCACTCACTCACTCATCCACTCACTCACTCACTCATCCACTCACTCACTCACCCACTCACTCATCCACTCACTCACTCACTCACCCACTCACTCACCCCCTCACTCACCCACTCACTCACTCACCCACCCACTCACTCACCCACTCACTCACTCATCCACTCACTCACTCATTCACTCACTCACTCACCCACTCACTCACTCACCCACTCACTCACTCACCCACTCACTCACCCACTCACCCACTCACTCATTCACCCACTCACTCACTCACCCACTCACTCACTCACCCACTCACGCACTCACTCACCCACTCACACACTCAGCCACTCACTCACTCACCCACTCACTCACTCACCCAACCACTCACTCACCCACTCACTCACTCACCCACCCATTCACCCACTCACTCACTCACCCACTCACCCACTCACTCACCCACTCACTCACCCACTCACCCACTCACTCACCCACTCACTCACTCATCCACTCACTCACCCACTCACCCACCCACTCACCCACTCACTCACTCACCCACTCACTCACCCACTCACTGACTCACTCCACTCACCCACTCACTCACTCACCCACTCACTCACCCACCCACTCACTCACCCAACCACTCACTCACCCACCCACTCACTCACTCACCCACTCACTCACTCACCCACTCACTCACTCACCTACTCACTCACCCACCCACTCACTCACTCACCCACTCACTCACCCAATCACTCACTCACTCACTCACCCACTCACTCACTCACCCACCCACTCACTCACCCACTCACTCACTCACCCACTCACTCACCCACTCACTCACCCACTCACTCAACCACTCACCCACTCACTCACTCACTCACCCACTCACTCACTCACCCACTCAGTCACTCACCCACTCACGCACTCACTCACCCACTCACTCACCCACTCACTCACTCACCCACTCACTCACCCACGCACTCACCCACTCACTCACTCAACCACCCACTCACTCACTCACCCACTCACTTAATCACTCTCCCACTCACTCACCCACTCACTCACACACCCACTCACCCACTCACTCACCCACTCACTCACTCACCCACTCACTCACCCACTCACTCACTCACCCACTCACTCACCCACTCACTACAGTTGTTAAAAAATAAATTGTTATAAAAAATTAACCGTAGCTTCATATTATTATTTTTTGTTATTATGAAAAAAAGACGACAGTAGGTTTATTCTTAAATTATTTTTTGTTAATTTCTTTAAACCAATCTCGGTGACTTCACCGAAAGATCCAAAGAATATGAATTAGTGCAGTCACGAACGCATTAAGCAAACATTTGGTCACCTGACTTAATATGCCCCGCCCCTTCCCACCAAGCCCCGCCCCTTCCCCTACAGCCCCGCCCCGTCCCTTACAGCCCCGCCCCTTCCCTTACAGCCCCGCCCATCCACCCCCAAGCCCCTCCTCCTCCCACCCAGACCCCGACAACCCCCCGTCGCCTAGCGTCCAGAGATCTTGCTTGTAAATTCCACGTTCCTATGGCGGGTGGCGGTGGAGGGTTGCACTCACAACTTGGACGCTGACCCTGCGATCGGACACACGTCACTAAGTGATAAGGGAGCGGAGGGGGAGGGGTGAAACAACGCCTGACTCACCCACTCACTCACCCACTCACTCACCCACCCAATCACTCACTCACTCACCCACTCACTCACCCCACTCACTCACCCACTCACTCACTCACCCACTCACTCACTCACTCACCCACTCACTCACTCACCCACTCAGTCACTCACTCACTCACTCACCCACTCACTCACCCACTCACTCACCCACCCGCTCACCCACCCACTCAGTCACTCACTCACCCACTCACTCACTCACCCACTCACTCACTCACCCACTCACTCACTCACCCACTCAGTCACTCACTCACTCACCCACTCACTCACTCACTCACCCACTCACTCACTCACTCACCCACTCACTCACTCACTCACCACTCACTCACTCACCCACTCACTCACTCACTCACCCACCCAATCACTCACTCACTCACCCACTCACTCACTCAATCACCCACTCAGTCACTCACTCACCCACTCACTCACTCACCCACCCACTCACTCACTCACTCACCCACTCACTCACCCACTCACTCACCCACTCACTCACTCACCCACTCACTCACTCACCCACTCAGTCACTCACTCACTCACTCACCCACTCACTCACCCACTCACTCACCCACCCACTTACCCACCCACTCAGTCACTCACTCACCCACTCACTCACTCACCCACTCACTCACTCACCCACTCACTCACTCACCCACTCAGTCACTCACTCACTCACCCACTCACTCACTCACTCACCCACTCACTCACTCACTCACCCACTCACCCACTCACTCACTCACCACCTCACTCACTCACCCACTCACTCACTCACTCACCCACTCACTCACTCACCCACTCACTCACCCACTCACTCACCCACTCACCCACTCACCCACTCACTCACCCTACTCAGTCACTCAGTCACTCACTCACTCACTCACCCACTCACTCACTCACTCACCCACTCACTCACTCACCCACTCACTCACCCACTCACCCACTCAGTCACTCAGTCACTCACTCACCCACTCACTCAGTCACTCACTCACTCACTCACCCACTCACTCACTCACTCACCCACTCACTCACCCACTCACTCACTTACTCACCCACTCACTCACTCACTCACCCACTCACTCACCCACTCACTCACTCACTCACCCACTCACTCACTCACCCCACTCAGTCACTCACTCACCCACTCACTCACCCACTCACTCACCCACTCACTCACCCACTCACCCACCTACTCACTCACTCACTCACCCACTCACTCACTCACTCACCCACTCACTCACTCACTCACCCACTCACCCACTCACTCACTCACCCACTCACTCACTCACCCACTCAGTCACTCACCCACTCGCTCGCCCACTCACTCACCCACTCACTCACTCACTCACCCACTCAGTCACGCACTCACTCACTCACCCACTCACTCACCCACTCACTCACCCACTCACCCACCTACTCACTCACTCACCCACTCACTCACCCACTCAGTCACCCACTCACTCACCCACTCACTCACCCACGCACCCACCTACTCACCCACTCACTCACCCACTTCACTCACCCACTCACCCACCCACTCAGTCACCCACTCACTCACCCACTCACTCACCTACTCACCCACCTACTCACTCACCCACTCACTCACCCACTCACTCACCCACCCACTCACTCATCCACTCACTCACTCACCCACTCACTCACCCACTCACTCACCCACTCACTCACCCACTCACTCACCCACTCACCACACTCACACACCCACTCACCACACTCACACACCCACTCACCCACACACACACTCACTCCACCCACTCACTCCCCCACCCACTGCCTCACCCACTCACTCACCCACCCACTCACTCACCCACTCACTCACCCACTCACTCACCCACTCACTCACCCACTCACACACTCACACACCCACTCACCCACTCACACACTCACTCACCCACTCACTCACTCGCTC